AGGATGTTAGCTTTTGATGTAAACTGTATTTGAAGTGTTCAAACTGCAGTTTACTCTCTGCATTCTTCAGAAAGAAGGGATTTATTGTTGCTCTAGCTCATGGTGTTCATTTTAAGAGATTGCTTGACCCGATTCTTTTTAGTGTAGGCTCACAAGAACTGGGCAACAGCTCTTGTTGGAAGGAAGTTTGTTTTGAGGTTTTACAAACACTTTGATGGCTCACCAAAAATAAAATAAAATAAAACTTGGGGTTGAAACTTTTACAATTACCATTGTGCAGTGCAAATTGTACTTGGATGAAATTTCCAAACAAGAAATTAAGGGTTCAAGCCAAAATGGTTATTGTTAAAGTAAAATTGAATGTTGTTATATTAGTAGAAAAATACTAAAATAACAATTCCTGAGTTTTTATAGTACTCTCTGGATAAATCGCACCAGGTTTGGAAATTTTTTTTCTATCAATAATTGTCACTATTTTGATGATATTTATCATCTTTGAAGACGTTAATTTCTGTTGTCGCTGTCTATTTTGGTTGGTAGATTAAGAAACCCTTTTCTCAATGAACTCAAATTCTTTCTGTTTTGATACGTTTGTTAATCTTCTCCCATGTATATATTTTTTGTCAGCGACATTATTTAAATCCAAATCTTTGTATAAAACAGTTTGTTATTATTGAACTTTTGTCTTGTTTGCTTCTTTTATTTTTTCTACACTGAACAAATGTTACTCATCCTTGTAGCATGATACAGGAGTGCTTCTTAATATCAGTTCCAAGTTCCAATAGTCAATGTTCTCTGTTCTATCATTCTCCATGTGTGTCGTGTGTGTGTGTGTGTGTGTCTCTCTCTCTCTCTGCAGGTGTCTTTCTTGATTCTTATTTCTATATACGAATTTTTCAGTACTCTTATGAAGTCAAACATGAGTGGTGCGAGAACTCTTATCCAACTGAGTCTTCAATGAAGATGTTGATCAGTGAAGAAATGTCCAAAGGACCAAACACCAGACAAAATGTACCGAGTGTTGTGGCCCGTCTGATGGGAATGGATATGTTATCATTCGATACAAAATCTGTAGCTCAGCAGGATGGAAAAAAGAATCAAAAGCCAGGAACCAATTTGCTTAAGAAGGAACAGAAAAAAAAAGGCTCAGGTGGCCATGTCCATTGTAACTCAAATTCTTCTAGACAGATGGAGTTTAATTCTTTTCAACATAACAAGGACAAAGATCCTGATAGTCAGCATGTTCACATGAAGTTGAAAAAGCCAAGGTCGCGAGAACATCCTCAAGAGGAGGAACTACAGAAGTTTAAGAAAGAATTTGAAGCATGTCAAGCAGCAAGGATCAGGGAATGCTCAAAGGTTGTTGAACTTGACAGAATTCCTAGCCAGTGGCTTGCTCAAGAAGCCCTCAACAAGGAAAAGGTTGCTCTATATTCAAATTCAAGAAGAATTACAGCAAGTGAGAAGCCTATAGATTTTATGGGTCATGCAGTAAAAGCAAGCCCATGTGAAAGTGGGTTGCAACATCATGGATTTAGGGAGGAACTTTTTCCATCTGAGCAGAAGGGATCATATTCTTCAAGGAACCGAACCCTAATTAGAGATTTTGAGCAGCCATCTCTGATTAATTCCGACCAGAAGCTGGATATATCTTCTGCTCCAACAAGGATAGTGATCCTGAGGCAACTGAATGAACTCGATGCTGATGGCCCCAAGGAGACAGTCACCGAAGAGCAGCCCTTGGAAACTGAAATGGCAGAGTTAGAGGATGAAGCGGAAGCTTACATCCGAGACTTGCTTGTTGCTTCAGGTCTGTATGATGGTTCATCTGACAATGTTTTATCAAGATGGGACCCACTAGCAAAGCCTATAACCAACGAAATTTTTGAAGCAGTAGAAGAGTCTTACAAGAAAATGACCAAGGATAATGAAGGGTCCAGAAGAGATCACAAGTTGTTGCTTGATTTGTTAAATGAAGCACTTTCAGTTGTACTTGGACCACCTGTGGCCATGTCTAGATTCAGAAAGGCTATTGGTCCTGCACTACTTCCTCCACGTGGACAGAAGTTATTGGATCGTGCATGGGAGATTGTTCGTGCACATCTATACCCTCCAACAGACAAATTTCATTACTGCATTGATGATATGGTGGCCGAAGATCTGGGGTTCACCACTTGGTCAGTGTTGATGAATGATGACATTGATGCTGTGGGGAAAGAGATGGAATCCCAGATTACCGGATATCTGATTGAAGAAATAGTGAAGGATATGCAGAGTCATAACGGCGCATAGAAAAGCCTCTTCTTCTGTGTTGTGGCCATTCTGATGGTCAAAGGGACCGTGGTAGAGGGTGCAGAAAGTGCTGAAAATTTCAGCTCGCGATGTGGGATCTCTTTCCTCACAGGCAGAGGCAGAGGCAGAGGCAGTGTTAGTTATTGTAGGTGAGTGTCAACAAAATATTGCATATCTTTTTTCATTGGGGATGGTTGTGATATAGGATATGGGTTGGTTTGGGGTTCCTTTTGAGTGTATATTGAGTTTATTATTTGATACATTAACTATTTTTTTGTATTGGACCAGTCTGCTGGACAATCCCAGATCAGTAGAAGATTGTGAACCACTGTATTTGTTTGGGTAAATTATATTACTTCCCTTGATGTTTGAAAAAAATGTAAGTCTTACAAATTTGAAGTAATTATATTTGGTTTTCTTAAAATTTTAATTCATACAACATGTAAGCTATTTTCATCAAGAATTCATTACTTACATAGATAAAAAAATAATATTATCATCTCTTTTACATAAAATATATGTTCTATCTTGTATATATTTTTATTTTCATACTATTTGTATTAATTGAGTCTTTTTAATCTTAAAAAAAAAAAGAAGGTATAATTAATGTAAGTTACTCTATTTTTTTTTTTTTTTTTTTTTGTTGTTGTTGAGGTCGTAGGATTAGGGGTACAACTCGGACGGGTTCAACCCGAGCAATTCGAATCCAGTCTGAATTTTTTTTAAGGTTTGGATAAAGATATTTTCAAATTCGGTACAGGTTTGCGTAAAAATTCATAAGACCGAATTAAATTTGGGCGGGCTTGAGTAAAGACGTCAAACAAGCTGAAACTCGAATTATATATATATATAGATATATAAAAATATTAAATATATATATAAATTATTAGTCATTACATGATGTTAAAATAATTTAGATCATTAAATCATATTAAATATATATTATATACATAAGTAACACAATACAAAATCTTATATTTTTTATTTTTCACTCATAAATTATAAAGACTATCAATTATTTGTTTTGATGTTATTAATGATTTTCTACACAAAAAAAAAAAAAAAAAATCAATTTCATTGGGAAATTTAAAACAAAAAAAAAAATCTCTTTTTATCCAGTGATTCCTCTTGGTGGGTTTCAAGCCTTCTTTGTTTCCCCTCTTCGTCAAATATTGTACAATTTTTATTATTTTAGGTTTTTTTAGCCAGTATGTTTGGTTTTTTTTTGAAGGTAAGGTATAATTTTATTCAAACACAAAACAAGTACAAAGAACAAGGGTCAAAACCCAAAAACTCTAGTAATATTTGAATTTCAATTACTTGACTTTGCATGTGGGTTGGGTTGGGTTGGGTTTGAATTACTAGGGTTGGACTTTTTGTATTGGGTAAATTACACTGAGCAATGCTAAATTACACCAACCCTTTTTAGTAATGCTAAATGATCCAAAATTAATGCAAATAGTGCAAAGAAAGACACAAGGACAATAAGAGTAAATATACATTTCAGTGTAATAGAGATGATAACATTATTTTTTTCATCCATACAACTAACGGGTTATTGATGAAAAATGAGTTTAGTGTTCCTTGAATTAAAATATCAAGGAAATCCAATGTAATTATACCAAAATTTTTGAGTTTGGTGTATTTTCTCCAAATCTCAGGAAGGTCATTGTAATTTAATCTTTTGTATTTTTAATTTGCATCATGTTATTTTCTACATATTCTATTTTTTTTTATTTTTTATTATTTGAATGATGATAAGCTAATTGTGTTGTCGATTGTTTATATTAGTTTTCTCATGCCAATTATTTGGATTTTTTTTTTTTTGAAAAAACTATATATTTTGGTTATATAATCCTTAGTGGGTATTATTGTTTATCGTATTTTTTTTAAACTGATTTTAGTTGATTTCACCTTGTATTTGTTCTTTAGGCTTTGGTTAGAGAAGTTAATTGGTTGATATTTGTGTATTTATGCTTTGATTGTTACAATTACAAGGGATTAAAAAATTGGAAGGGAGGAAAGCTAGGCATCCTTAGAGAAAGGAAGTTGCCTTTATCTCCTTCTATTTGTTTGATTGATTAGGAAGGAAAGCAAAGGTGATAGAAAGGGTTAATTTTATTTGCACCCGTGCATATCAAAGGAACGATGATGTTTGAATGTCAAAAACATTAAAAAGAAAGAAAGAACCCGTGTATATCAAAGAAGAAGAAGAAGAAGAAGAAGAGGAAGAGAGGGGCTTAACCTTCATCACGGCTGGAGGAAAATTGCTTTTTCCCTTCTTTCCTTTCTACCAAATGAAGAAAATGCTATAGATCCTTCCTCCCGCTTTTCTCCCTTACCATAAGGAAAATGGTGCTCAAACAGAATTTTCATACACAAATCCCATCCAAAATAATGTGGCAGTGGCAGTGGCAGTGGCATTTTTGAAATTATGAAGTGTCTTTTTTCTGGAATGGGAAGACCACGATGAGTCACACATCTTGTATAGAAATTTTGAATAGAAGTTGTGTTTGTTAACATTATTCTTAACATAAAGATCTTAAAGATGGGAGGAAACTCTTAACATGGTGTTTTTTTCTCCTCTTTTTTCATAAAATGACTGATTTTCTTTTGGTAAATATTAAGATTTTTTTTAAACTTGCTATAAAAATCTTGTTCTTGCTGTCTCAGGAGCCAGGTTGGGAAATCTATATTGTGACCCCTTAATGACATCTGTTGGCCACAAGATTAGTGGCAGACAACGGTGGACTCCAACACCTGTACAACTTCAAATTCTTGAACGTTTATTTGACCAAGGGAATGGGACACCAAGCAAGCAGAAGATCAAAGACATAACCTCTGATTTGTCTCAACACGGCCAAATTTCCAAGTCAAATGTCTATCATTGGTTTCAGAACAGGCGTGCTAGATCAAAAAGGAAGCAGCATGTTGCAGCACCAAACAGTGCAGAATCAGAAGTGGAGACAGAGGTTGAATCACCTGATGAAAAGAAGACAAAGCCAGAGGATTTCCAGTCTCAACATAACCCAGCTCCAAGGGCTGAGGATTTGTGCTTCCAAAACCCTGAAATAAGCTCTGGGATGCGTTCTTTAGATTCAAAGTCCAATAAAGGAGAGCCCATGTTTCCATCAAATGGCAGTTCAAAACCTGAAAGGAGTTTGGGACAAATTTCTTTCTATGATAGCATGTTATCGAACCCAAGTATGTATATCCTTTGAGCATTTGATTTCTTTTTACTGGCCAATCATGCAACACAGATTGATTCTGATGGACCTCATGCTCTGAACTGTTATTTATATAAGTTGATGCATATAGTAGTTGTAGTAATTAAGAAAATGTTATATTCATGTTCAAAGTTCTTTTTTTACTCTTTTTTCTTTTTCTTTTTCTTTTTTTTTTAAGTTCCATGTTTGTGATTATATTACAGTTTGTTCAATTTTGATTCATCCTTTTTACTTGTGATCAGTTACTAACACACATGCATAGACACTCAACACATTCTAATTGCATTGACTTTCTTTACAAGTCAACTTAACAAGCTATATCGCAATTACTATTTCTGGCTATGCACTTCTTTTGTTCTTTGTTTCTCTCGTATTTATTTATTTTTGTTTTGTCATTGTAGCACATTATTCTTGAATGAAATCTAGTTCTGGCTGTGGCACTTTTGTTGTCTGCAGCACTTCTTTACTCAAATTTTGATTTATATATATCTTTCCGTATTCATATCCTATCTCTTAAATTGAATTTGCCCCTTCTTTATTTAATGTGTTGTCATTCATATTAACATGCCAAAGGTTCATGTCAAATGTGTTTGTTTTGCATATTCAGATTACGTACTCTCCCGGCGTGTATAGTTTTTACTGTTTGAAAGGTTTTAGGCTATAGAAGCACAATTTCATGTGATCATTAATGGGAGAGTTACTAGAACTATAAATTGAAATGTGCTGACAAAGTTCTGTAATACTTCCATGTGGAGATATTTAGATTAGAGAGCTTTTAGGTAGGTTCAGAAAAGAATGGTAGGAGAATTAAAAATCTTTTTTGCTCGTTTCAATATTACTTTCATGGGTAAATTACACTTTGCACCGTTGCACTTTACACTGGATCCCACTTTAGTATTTCGGTTTTCAATTGAAACAGTCAATTTCTTTCTCTTCTCGTTAACTAGCAATTTAGCCCTTCCGTACGTTTTTCCGTTAAATAGTGTGACATAAAATGGCACATGGCCCTCATGTGCATTTTAAAGGGTAAAAATGTAATTTTTTGTCTCTGTATTTCACAAATGGTTACAATTTATCCCTTTTGCATTCAAACTCACTGTCTCATTCAACTCCACACCCAATGCCACACCCATTTCCCTAATATGCACCTCCCAATCCACCCCAACAACCCATCCCACCATTTCCCCTCTCTACTCCTCCTCTACTCTATGATGGACAAAATAGGAACTACTTCAGTGTCTAGGATTGCTTATCAATGACCCCAATGGCATAACTGTAAAGCTAGGGGGGCGGCAGAAATCAGAGTAGTTGGTGCCGATTGCAACCCATTAGTGTTGACAACAAACAATAATCATTGGCTCACTTGTCATGCCTGAAAATCAATCCATTGGGCTATGGTGCGGTGGTTCTTTTTGGTCAGTGGTTTGGGCCATGTGAGATTGAAGCTGGGCCAATGGTGGTGGCTTAGGTTGGGATTGGGACAGAGGGGAAGTGGGAAGTTCGAAGTTCGTGGTGGTGGAGAAAGGGATGTTGGTGTGGCTGTGGGTAGTAGGGAAGGGATTGAATTTCTGGGATAAGGGGGAGAAGATGGGTGCGGTCTATCCATAGGGTGAGGGTAGACAAGTAGGCCTCTCTCTGTCAGCCTTGGGAAAATTTCGTGTCCCTCACTCGTTGAAATTCTATATTTGCCCTCAAAGCTACTTATGTGAACCTTAGATTGGAAATTCTGTCAGCCTATTTAACAGAAAATGGACAGAAGGGCCACATTGCTAGTTGACTATTTCAATTGGAAAATTATAGAATAAAGTGAGATTCTATATTTTTATCCATACTTTTTGCTGCTTTACACCGTGAGATATACAAGCTTCTGATTTAACTTTTTTGACGTTCAGTAACTCTTGTTACATTGAGTGCAAGTACAACAAGGATATCATCTTGCATGATGGATACTTATTATTTTTGGTACTATTTCAATTGTTTAAGAAATATGGTTTGGTATCTTATTTTTTTAATGCTAGGTGGTTTTAACTTATTTCTCAAACCTAAGTTATTTCATAAAACCGTGTTTTGAAAATAGTAAGTAACATGGGCTTAGGAAATGAGTTAAAAACAACATAAATGTGAGAAACAAGTTTTCAAATAACCCGAGTTTGGTAAATAACTTTTAATTACCTGTTCATTGATGATTGCAGGAATCGACCACTTGATTGGAAAGATGGAAGCGTCAGGGAGCTACAATCCATATTTGCAGGAAGATGACTACAGCATGACAAGTTGATACTATAATGCAAACTACTGTGATTTAACGTTACTGGTCTATATAAAATTACTATTTGTTGATGAAACATATGAACGCAATATATTAAAGATGCGTATAGTTTTACCACACCAATGAATATATGAGTTTGATAAATTTCCTTTCTCTTGATCATGAGATTGTGTTTTTGGTTGAATATTGAAATCTAGTAATATGCTTGGGGAGTCTTTTGAGTGAATGATATAACTATTGCATTACTTGCCTACTTGGAGTGGTTGGTTAGTTAGTAATCAACACTTAACCTAAAATGAAAACCCCATAAGAGCTGGCCACAAACCTGTGTGGGGAATGTATGGCTTAAATTGGAGCCATGACTTGATTGAAGAGGTTGCTTCTGAATGTGAGTCAACTGTTGACACCCAAATCCATCCTTCTTAACCCCAATATGAATTCTGAACATTAATATCCAAATATTCAACAAATCTTTAAAAACAAAACAAGTGTTTTTTTGAAATACCGAAATTTAATTTAATGGCTAAGCATAAAGCATTGACTACTAGATAAAAGTAATATTTGGGTTACTTGCGGATTAATAGTGGGTTCATATCAACATGTTGACATAAATTATTATACGGGTCAAACATATTATATTTGAGTTATGTATGTTCAATCTAAACGCAATCTATTTACTATTCGTGTTATTGTGTTGTGTCACAATCAAGTTTATATCAAAAAGGATCAATCATAAAGCTTTAATTACCTGTATTTGAGTTCCGTGCCAAATTCTCAACCCTACCTAAATGATATAATCAAATGATTGATGAAATTGTATTTTATCTTGATATATTTTTTATTTATTTATGTAAATATTTTTAGCTACTTTTTTTGTAATTTTGTAGAAAATATTATAATTAATAATTTCTTTTAGAAAAAATTACACACACCACTCCAAATTTGAAAAAAAAAAATAGTTAGTCGATATAATTATATTATATTAATATCCTTTGAAATTTTAATTTACATAATAATTAAAAAAAATTAATCTATAATTTATTAGTTATATGAATAAAAAAATAATATTATCATCTTTTTTAAACTAAAATGTATGTTTATTTTTATATATTTTAATATCTACTCACTATTTGTGTTAATTTAACCCATTTAATTTTACTAAAAAAATTAATATAATTAAGTTAAAACTATGAAAGTAATTGTATAAATGACATCTAATATTTTCATAATATCTGTATTTTCATAATGTCTATAAAAATTTTTACCCTTTCTGAATATCTGTATTTGGTATTTACATTCTTAACCTTCCTTAATCATGAATCAATTGGAGAAAATTACAAGCCTAAAACACCATAGATTAAAAATATAATAAGTGGTGTTTGATGAAAATTTGGATATGGTTAATAAATTTTGATTCAATAATATTACAAATTCACCTTTATCAATTCAAAATTTACTTAAAAAAATAAATGAATAGCTCAAATTCATTTCATATGTGAACTCCACACTTCATTAATTCAATCTTCACTACACAAATACATTCTTCATTTTCATTTATTCTTTTTCCTTTTTCATATTTTCAATCTTCCTAAAAGTGGTTCCTAACATTTTTCATTTTGATTTGATCTTTTTCCTTTTCCATATTTTCATTGATCTAATCCCGAGCAATAAGACTATGTGCATGTAAGTCAAACACAAAATGCTACACTGATATCTCATAAGGGGTGGATTCTAAAATTTACCCTTTCTGAATATCTGTATTTGGTATTTACATTCTTAACCTTCCTTAATCATGAATCAATTGGAGAAAATTACAAGCCTATGTTTGGGAAGAAGGTTTTGTGACTTTTTTTGCTAAAATAGTCATAAAAAATAAAATAGGTTTTTTAACTCAATAAGACAAAACATCATATCCAGTTCATAATCATTACATTCTTTATCTCACAAAAAAATTAAAAAAGCCAAAAGTCCTTCCAAAATTAGGTTTTTTAGCCCCAGAATAAAATATTTAAAAAGTCCAAAAACCCAACCCACTTTTCAAACGAAACATACACTTCGGTTCATTACATATTTTTAAAGGTAAATTATACTAACGGTTTCTATAGCTTAGGTATTTTTAAGGGCAAATTACATGATCATTAGTTAAACACATAATAAATATTAATTTGGTAAAAAAATAAAATAAATAAAGGGGGTTTTTTTTTAGGGTCCCTGGTATTAAGATTTTATAGCATAAATGACATCTAATATTTTTATAATGTTTAAGGTCCCTCAATTTGATCTAGAGAAATTTAATTCAGAGAATTTTTCTAGACTTTCCAAAGAAATTATATCCAGAGAAATTCTGAACCAGAGAAATTCTCTTCAACTCAGAGAAATTCTCTGTTTCTCTCTAGAAAAAATTTTAGATTATGTAAAGAACTAACAGCTATGGATTTTAACCCAAAAAAAAAAAAGGGGGCAAAACAACAACACCACCATCAACACTGATGCAAAGAGAAATGTGCACACCAGACAGATCATGCACAAAATTATTACACTGAGTACAACTAAAAGAAACAAAATTTCTTTGAACTTTCAAATTTCTCTGACACACTCTCCAGAGAATTTCTCTGACCTTTCCTCCTCTCCAGAGAAATTTCTCCTCTCCAGAGAAAATTGAAATTTCTATGAACAAAATTATTTGCTTTTATAGAATCATTTCTCTGTGAAACTAGAGAAAATTCAAATCCTTTACTAGAGAAAATTCAAAATCTTGTACCAGAGAACTGAGTACAACCAAGAAACAAAATTTCTCTAAACTTTTAAATTTCTCTAACCCACTCTCTAGAGAATTTCTCTGGCCTTCCTTTCCCTCCAGAAAAATTTCCCTTCTCTCCAAAGAAAATTAAAAGTTCCCTGAACAAAATTATTTGCTTTTGTAGAATCCTTTATCAGAGAAAATTCAAAATCTTATACCAGAGAAGATTGAAACCAGAAAAAATTTTAAATCTTTTACCAATTAAATCTTTATCAATTGAACAGAAAAGAAAGAATGAGAAGTTTAATATATATATATATATACTAATAGTACACAACCAAAGTAAAGTGCTAACTAGATAAAATTCTGGACCAGAGACTAAAACACAGAGAAAATACGTCTTCTATTGATTTGAAAAGTTACTGAAAATAAATTGCTCAAATTCATACATTTCGCACTACCAATGGCCGACATACATACGCAGCTCAAACAACAAGAGCTATTAGAGAGGGAGAAAAAGATTCTAGAGAGAGAGTTTGAGATTTCAGAGAGAGAGAGAGAAACAATGGCGGCAACGTATATTTGATGTTGTTTCCTACCAGTCCACGCGAGCGAACCGTCGAGGTGCTCGACCAATCTAGGCTTGGCGGTGGGTTCAGATCATATGGCAATGAGTCTTCGAAATCACAGTGGAGCCGCGTAGGAATGGAGATTTGAACCAAGAATTAGGGTCGTCTCCTGCTGATGAAGTTGATGATGGGGGGGTATCGAAGAAGTTTTTATCTAGTAATGGTTTTGAGAGGAGAGAGATGAGGGTTTTTTTGGATCTGAGTTTAGGGTTGATGATTTTAAGAGTTGGATATTGAAGAAGAGCTTTGTTCTTTCAGAAAAGAGTCAAATTTCTCTGGTATGATATATGGGTGTGGATTTAGGGATCTTAGACATCAAAAAATAATATTGTGGATATTTTTCATTACTAAAAATGGGAGAGGGACTTTAAACTAATTTTCCCATAAATGGATGTCTACAAATTTATCAATTGTGATTACATTATCATTATCATCCAATAGTGTAACAATTGTAATTTAAAATAATTATAAATTAACAACCATTTGAGATTTTAAAAAAAAAAAATAGGAAAAATTAGGAATAGATGAGATAGTCAATCAGAAGTTATATCAAAAGAATATAATTTTCCTAAAAATATAAACCCTAAATCCAATTTCTCAACAATTGGGATGAACCCTTGAAAGCAGGTATAGATATGCAGCAATGGTCTGATCCGAATGCATCCTAAAGTTGTGAGCTTCAATTTTTAAAATGGCAGCTGAGTCCTGTGTTGCGAATGCAAAATATACATATATACATGACAATCATAAGGGATCATTAGAAACCCTCGATTCACACCATGTTTGTTGTTCGAAAAAGCAGTGCAAAGGCATTCATTGTATACCTCTCTGCCCTTCTTCTCACAACAACTGCCTTCTCTCTCTTTCTCCTACCGGTATACATACATAGTATATTGATAATATATATTCTCTGCTGATTTTTTATTCTTCATATCTAATAGTGCAAAGTTTTCACTTTCTGCTTGTGGGTTTAGTGAAAGAAAGCTTTTTTGTTGCTACTTTGTTTGAGCAACTGTTTTGTGTTCATGGGTGTACCTATTTGATGCAATGCAACAATCTTGGGAAATTATAACAGTAAAAAGGGTGTTTAAATTTCTGGGTATCATCAACATACATGTAAATCTTGGAAACTCTGCTAAAGATATTCAATTTATCTCAATGCCAGAATGATGATTTACAAGATTTTACTTGTGGAGTGTGTATGTGTGTGTACTATTTGAAGAATATCACAAAATGTTTTTGTTATGAGACCCGAGTTATGCGTGATAAACTCTGACCTGATGATCCAACAAACAACAGGATGGATCAATTCATGTACTTCTTTGGAGCTTATTTTTAAGTGCATTCCTTGTCAAACAATTTATTTGGAAGCCTGTTGAGAAAGGTGAGAAGCTAGCAAAAAGGGTTTCTTTGCTCTGAACTTCTGTTTGCAGGATTTAATTTGTTTGGTTTATATTATTAGTAATAGCTTCAAGTTAATTTGGACTGTTATCCTTGTTTGGAGGCATTGCAAAAGCAGAGGGCATTTCTTTGTCATTATCATAAGTTTATTTATCCTGCATTCTCCTTGTCTATCATCATTTTCTTGTGAAAATGGTTTAGTTCGCCAAAGTTATTGCACTATTCGGACCATATGATCAAGATATGAGAGTCAGCTGAGTTGTTTAAAAAACATTAACAATTTTTTTACATGTAACATGAAGTGCTGGACCAATCCCTTTAATTAACATATTGCACTTTGTTGAAAAAGTTACAACTGCAGAGTTCTTTGTTATGGTTTCCCTACCAAGAATTGACATGTCTAAAACTTATTGACAGATCATATGTAATCAGGCTTGTCCATCACCAATTTAGGCGCTCACATTAGTCTATCTTTATTTGCTTCAAAACTGTGTGTAAGTTCATTTGTATTATCCTGTCTATTTCACAACTTTTGTGAAATTATATTCTTCAGTATTTAATTGTTGAGGACATATTGAAACACATTGCTGAGCAGCACGTGTATTATTTATAATATTTGTCTGGTATTTTTAAAATTGACTAATGATAACTCTATTGTCCTTCTAAGCAACACAAAGAAAACACAAACATAAACAAGCATACATATATCATACAAGCCTACAAGGGAAAGGGCATTTGTGAACATGTATATTGTCTTGCAGCATAAGGTTCTCTCTCTCTCTCTCTCTCTCTCTTGGTCTGCACAGCATAAGGTTCTCTAATTCTTGAAAAACACAAGCCATTTGGTAATTACATATTTTTTTCCACAAATTTAGACTATTACACCGGCCATTTTTTCTGAATTGTATCTATGTTTTTGATATGTGGACTATTAAAAAGTGGTTATGAGAACAAGTTGGATAACATTCTCTGATATTTATCCACTCTCTCTCTCTCCCCCCTAAAAAAAAGATAGTCTACAAACAAATTAGAGTAGTTCCCAAACAAGTAGTATGAGGATAAGAATGCTTGCTGTCCTAAATTAAATCTTCATTATGTTATGTGCAGTTGATAGCTGGTTTTTTATGATGCAAGATTGCGGCTGTTACTTAGCTTCCCTTATATTTTTTCCTTTTTTTAACTTCCCCGCAAGATAAGCTAGTTGTTTATTTGTTTCATTTTGGGGAGGTATTTTCATTACCTGTTCACTTTGTTTTATGTCTTAATGTTTCAGAGTCCATCATAATCATGCCAGCTTTTGGAGTCCAGCTTGAAACTCACTACAGCAGGTACTTCCTTATTTTTTTTATGTATGAGAATTTTTCATTTATTGAGAGAGTGGATCTAACTCCCATTTGCAAATATATGTTAGGTGTCAAACTGGAAAAAGGAAAAGTTGGTTCAATGGTACACTCTGTTTATTAGAATGTCTCTGCTGGTTCTTTGAATAGCAATGTCCAAAAAAATATATATGGATATTGATTGGTGCCTATTGGGACTGCAAATGAACCAAACTGTTCATGAATAGGCTTGGCTCAGCTCGTTTAATAAACGAGCCAAGCTCGAATAAGTTCGGCTCGTTTATCTTTATTTAAATTATATAATAAATATTTATATATTCAATAATATATAAAGTATTTTTTATTTAAATAATATAAATAATATTAAAAAATATCTTATTGAGCTGAGCTCGAGTCCAGTTATTTATCGAGCCGAGCTGGAGTCCAGTTACTTATCAAGCCGAGCTAGAGCTCAATAAACGAGCTCAATAAGCAAATGAGCTAAGCTCGAGCTCAGCAAAGCTCAGCTTGGCTCGGCTCGGCTCGGCTCGTTTGCAGCCCTAGTGCCTATATCTTAGGATGCTTGTTTTTAAACAAAACAAAAGCTATGGAACTCATCCATTCATAAGTATATTTGTGATATTAAACTTAAAAATCATATCTATCAAACTGAAGCAACAGTTACAAAAGAGCACTGGTTGAAGTATCTCTTCTTTCCTTTTTCTCCATAACCCAAAACATTCTCTAATTTTTCTAGCCTAAAAAAGAATATGGCCAACCTTGCCTTTAGCTGCTCAATAGCACCACTAGAGTAGTTTATGCTTAGTATCTCCCTTCTATTCACCAGTTCAAACAATCACGAAGAATAATATTTTGTTTTGCCTGTTATATGTATTTTTTCTCCTTTTGTCCTAATCATCGGCTTCACTAATACTACTCTTTTTTTCCTCACATAGTGGGAGAATAATCCACCGCTTCATTCCCATTGAAAAGATTTTGAAACCTGTCTTGAATGAATGTGTGACCCCAGTCACTTGTTATTGGAACTTGTCTCTGATTGTACGTGAGGAAGAAGAACTTGTGTTGGTTTTCAAGGTAAAATGATGTTTTCTCATTTGTACTTTCTATGCTTTTCGGAAAAACCTAATGATGATTATAACTTAAAAAGTCACAAAGAACAAGTGAGCCTTGAAGTGCATATTATAGTGCATAGAGGATTTTCACACCCCACATGTGGGACCCATCCTATGTCCCATTCTGTGAAGAACAGCTGATTGCTAAAGCAGTTGAATAGGGTGATTTATTGTTTAATAAATAAGGAACTATTTTTTGCAAAGATGTTGCCCCTTGTTATTTCCATTCAGCCCCCACTCTCCCTCTTTTGTACTGACTCAAATAGGGCTTGAATTCTTGTCCAGGAACTTCACCCACCAGTGAAAATGTTAATCCCAATCTGGAAGGCGTTATGTGCTGCTACTGACAACCCAGTCACTCAAGTTCCAAGTAGATAAAATAATCAATGGTGTTGAACTGTTTCGAATAAAGAGCTATGATGCACCACAATCTACCTTCTCGGACAGTTCCTGGTCAATGGTACATGATACAATATAACATCATTATGAGATTGGCGACTGTGCTAAATTTTGTTCCCTCAACTGAGTGTTTTGTACATGATTGAATTGATATACATTTCATATTCTGTAAACGGAAGATGGGAAATTTTAAGAAATTGATTTTACCAATCTATTCATTAGAAGAATCAATATAGTGTCTGCTTTAATCCTTTTACTGGTCACTACACTTCATATGTAAATCATTGGGAATACATATTCTGTAAACGGAAGATGGGAAATTTTAAGAAATTGATTTTACCAATCTATTCATTAGAAGAATCAATATAGTGTCTGCTTTAATCCTTTTACTGGTCATTGCACTTCAAAATATGTAAATCATAGGGAATACCTACATGGACATCATTAGCATGCGGTAGATTAAGCCCACCTGGTTGTTGGATGATTGAATTGCTGCTTCTTTGAGAAAGATGGTTGTCAAATTTTTTCATTCGATTATATCTTCTGTCCAGCTGCCGTGCTCTGTTGATTTAACATCTATTGTGTTCTGGATGATATACATTGGGAATTTTTATTTTTATTTTTTTTGTTGTCCAACTTCATTCACAGTAATGGGGTTAGCTGGAGGTATTTACTTCAAATTTTGACATAGTCCATGTATGATTTTAGCACTCATAATTTTAGTATATTTGCTGGACAACAAAAAAAAATAAAAATAAAGGGACAAGAGAAGAAGCAACTATATCTAGCTGTTTTGATCACACATCTGCCAAGTAGCTTTGCCTTAAATGATTTTAAAAAAGAGGTGAAAAAATAAGGTGTGATTTTATTGTGTGCAAATAACTGTCGTTACAAACTACAAGCGACTCTGTTACACTAGTACAACATATTATTGGTACTTCAGCGGTCAGAATGAGAACTATACATAACAAATTGAAAGAATGGGTTCACAGTGGCAAGGAAAAAAGGCGCGTTGGTGGAGAACCACAGCCACCACTGAATCTGGAAAACCAACTGGTTACTCATCAAGACAGACCTCTGGCAGAGCTCAAACGCTGTGCTGCACGTTCTAAACTGGGTTCATGCTGATGTAACCCATGCCACAATTCATTAGAACCACCATTCCACAATCCAAGCTTAGCTATCTGCTTATGCAATGCCTCCAAGTTGACAAGAGGGACAGTTGTTGGTCGCCCGTGAGCACACTGCAAAACAAACTCTCCAGAATTATCAACAATGCAGCTAAGCAATCTCTCTCTCTCAGCTAAGCAAAACAAACTCTCAATTTTTTGTATTGATTGACAAATAGACTAGGATACTGTCAACTCACTTGGAAACACAATGATGTTTGCTTCAGCTCTTCAACAATTAGGGAACACTCTGAAGGTAGCAATGTGTCCCCAAACATTATTGCACCTAAATAGTAAAACCAATAAGCAAAATTAAGAACATAATCCCCAAGAAAGAAGCTTTCACCCTTTTAAGAGCAGGAAATACAACTCCGGTGCAGCTAAAAAGTTGCTAACATGCTGGAAATTTGAGATGTATCAGGAAGCAAGAAAGAAAAACCACGGCAAATGGCAAATGACACTAGTCCATATGAGAATATTTTGTGGACAAGCATCACCTCGCATAAAGCATTAAATAACTTAATTTGTGGATGATTGGTAACTAATGCAACTTTTACACAGACTAGCATTTTTCCTAAAGATTGAGGTTATTATACCTCTACATGCTTTGGAGTTAAGGACCCGATGAACGGATGGCGGTATAGTTGATGATCCATCTGTATCAGCAAGCTGTTGATCACAAATACAAACTGGAGTGAGAAAATCAACAAATATAGTTTGGGAAAATTTTAGATAATGAATGATGAATCAATAAACTCCAGAAAAATCATGGAAATGGAACTGTAAAAACTTCTCTGTATTACCTGTTGAAGAAATTCCAAGAGATCTACATCAGTCAAATTGACTCCTACAATACACGGCACCTGCACATTAAAGTAATTGTGATATTCAATAATGAGACAAAATAGAGATTGCGGATCTCTGAACTATGTCAATAATGTTATACATCTTGAGTAAATATACAACATTGAGGACACTTAAACATTTAAAGCACCTGGTTGGTCAATGTGTATGTCTATGGAAGTAATAACAATAACTTCTCTGGCAATAATATTTTCCTCTATATATGCATGTGTATGTACGTAGTTGACAGACTAACTAGTAATACAATCAAGAAAAAAAAAAAAAAATTAAGCTTGTAAAAGAAGTTCAATGGCTGAGAGAGAGAAAGAGAGAGAGGGGCAGGAATATTCTTCACCGCATTGAGTGTGACAACAGTTGGCTGCCTGTGTAGAAGATTCAGATTCCTGTAAAACCACAAAAGGGTGTACACCAAAAAAATCTCAGAATTTAAAAGATGAATTGTATAACAAGACAAATGCAATATATCATGCATTCTCTAACACCATCCATTTAGCGGGGGAAAAAAAAATCATCCCAGCAAATCCTTAACGAAAGATATGAAGCAGGAAATCCAAAAGGTTGTCCAAAGTCATCAGCACAAACAAAAATTTGACAAACTTGTTCACCAACATTGGTATGGGGTTAATATCTTTGAAGGTCATTCACACAATGATTGACACATAGATCAACAGTACTAATTAAAGATTTTCTAGACACAGAACACAGAAAAATTACTTTTTAAAAGACCTTGAACCCAGAGAACGAATGTTGCAGAGCCAACCCCAATTTTGAATCTGATCAGCATAGTTGTGCAACAACTGATACCCTATTTCAGGCAGGACCTGTTTACAGTTTCGAAAATAATAAAAATCAATAGTGAAGATCTAAAAAATTTCAGATAAATGTTTAACTTGGCACAGCATCTAGGGCTGTAATAGAACCCCGACATATACTGTGAAATGGAAATACCAATTTTTGCTCAGTATCTAGGTAAGTGACTGTCTTCATTTCTCCAGATAGCACCTACGAATTTCACTAGTCTATTAGCCACACTGGATTTGTCATTTTCAAAAGTTTGAACTACAAAAGCATTTTACCTTCTGACATAGTTCTTCCAAGCGGATCCTTTCATCTGCAGCGTGCTGTAAAAGACAATCACTTGCAAAGTAACAAATGCAGCCAAATGCTGGAAGTAGACTCCAAAACCCTAAGCCAATAAATATGATTATGTGTGTTGGTATGTACACGAATCAAGCCCACACATGTTTGCATGTAGATGTATATATACTACCAGGCATCTACTGGCTAATGCTGACACGATTTCCCAGTTACAAGATTCTCATATGAGAAACTGTTAACCATTCCATGTCCTCAATCCACTTCTAAGATTTCCTGTGCTATGTACATCTCAACAATTGGTGTCATTGAACATTCTGCTGAGATAAAATAGGCCTCGACTGAGAATCATGAGAAGCAGTACTAAACTATGTTACACGAACTCGGGTGTAAATATTGGGTGCGGGCACAGGTGCAGGTACATCTAGGGGTCGGATACTTCAAAATTAAAAATTGAAAATACATAAATATGGATCCAAATTTGGATACGAGTACGGGAATACGGTAAATAGTTATTTTTTAAATATATTTATTATATAAAGATGAGTTAAATAGTTATTTTTAAATATATTTATTATTTTTATCTTATGTATTATTTTTATTGATAATATTTTTAATTTATTTATATAATTTATTTTTTTTTATTTTTAATTGATATATATATTATAAATAAAAAAAATATAACAAATAAAGAATAATAAATTATGTTAAAATAAATAAAAAATAAATAATTTATTTTATAGATTTTATTAGATTTTTTATTATATATGATTTAATTACATTTATTATATAACAACTTATATGATTTATTTATAGCATATATTAAAAAGGAGAGAGAGAGAAAGAGAGAGAGAGAGAGAAGAGGAGATCGACTGGGAAGACAGCAGATAGAAGACGACATTGATCGAAACGAGGTCGAAGAGATCAAAGAAAAACAAGATCGAGAGTGAGGAATCGATTGGCGCAAGATCGAAGCCAGCGACCAGAGGGAAGTCGGCGTCCAGGTTCACTTCTTGCCCTCTCATCTTTCATTTCTTCTGTATTTAGGGCAAAACATAGCCGGATCTGTTTGTAAAGGCCATATCCCACACCCGCACCCATGTCATGTTGTGAATTTTTTTATATAATTTAATTTTTTTATTTTTAATTGATATATATATATATTATAAATAAAAAAAATATAACAAATAAAGAATAACAAAATATGTTAAAATAAATAAAAAATAAAATTTGGATGATTTATTTTATAGATTTTTATAGATTTTTTATTATTATTAGATATGATTTAATTAGATTTATTATTATATAACAAATTATATTATTTATTATATGTTAAAAACGGGAGGAGGGAGAGATAGAGAACACAAATCGACGAGAGAGAGAGAGAGAGAGAGAGAGAGAGAGAAGAAGAAGAAGAAGAAGAAGAAGACGAGGAGGAGATGATAAAGAAGAGAAGACAGAGAGAGAAGAGGAGATCGACATAGATGAAGACAAAGACAAGACAACACAGAGACATAAATCGACATAGATCTTCACCCTGTTGCTACCACTGCTCCACTGTAAGTTTCTCTCAACAACCCTTCTTTCTCCTCTCATGTCAGCCATGTCCAAGAAACCCATGCCGAATCTGACACATATCTCACACCCGCACCCATGTCGTATCGTGTCGACACGGGTACTCTACCCTAAACCAACGAGTCCATGTAACAGAGGTACTAAATAGTCCACAATTACAACGTCCATAGCATAATGTTTTAACTTGTGAACTAATGTTCTATTTAGCTCACTAGAATAAGATGGAATGGAATGGAATAATCATTCCTTAGGCTCCCCTATGGAATGATTAGTCCATTACAAAGATGAATGATGATTCCATTTGCAATATATTTTTTAGTCAATCAAACATGGGAATGGATATTTTGATGGAATGATAATTCCATTCCATTCTATTCCAGTGAATAGAACACTACCTAAATATATCATTTGGCTACGGTCTTTCAAAAATTTAAAAACATGAGATAGATGGATCTCAAGAAGAAAAAAAGAAAGAAAGAAGAGCAGTGCTTAAACCTGGTCAATAATAGCAAGCACTCCACCACCCACAATTGGAATGAAAGGCACCGAAATGCCACTCTAATGAGACATGGCAAAGACATGGAATATGATATGCTAGCATGCAATTTTCAGAGGCAAAATGAGGGGTAAAACAGCCCCGAATCATGGCAAAATGACACCCGATGCATGGAATCTCTCCCAAAATGCAAAATTAGGCACATAGAATGAACTACAGCTATACAAAGCATGCATAATTGGTACATGGAATGTAAAGACAGATTCAAGGCAGTCCCAAAAAAAGCATTTTTCCAGTTCTAAGCAAGGTCAAACAGCAAACAAAAATAGGGAAAAACTAGCATGCAAAAATGGCCCTAAATGTGAGATAATGAAGGAACTCACAGCTGCTGATCCCAAACAGATTAGGGCCCTTCAACAATGTTGAATAGGTGCCCAAAATATGACATTTTACAGCTCTGTAAAGACCCCAAAAACAAACATAGGTATGGCTAAGCTCTTATGCAAGAATTGGACCGAAAGATGAACGAAGAAGTAAGTGGTAGATACAAAGCCCAAAAATAAAAATACTCTTCTACAACACTGAAGAGGGGCCAAAAATATGACTACTTACAGTTTATGGCAGCCCCAAAAACAGTATATAAACACACTCAAAATGTCATGCAAGATGAGGCTCAAAAGAGGCTATAACACAAAGTATACAAAATATTCATCAAACAGCCGAAGACCCTTAATGAAACATGACAAGGGTGTCAAAATATGGCTGTTTTTAGTTCGGACCATAGTCTAAAAACAGCAACAACAAGGGCTTCCAAAGCATGCAAAAAAGGGGGACCAAAGAGAGGTATAATGACAAGTGGTACATGGAGGTCCCAAACAGTGTTGAGCCCTTCTTAAATGTTTAAGAGGAGCTCAAAATAGACCTATTTACAGTTTACATCAGGCTCCAAAATAGATCACACACAAGCTAAAAAAATCATGCAAGAAAATGGCATACAAAGGGGGTATTGAAGCAAGTGAAAGATGGGGGGCTCAAACAGTGTTGAGCCCTTAATGAAACAAGAAAATGAGCTCAAAAAAATGACCCTTTCAGTTTTGGTCGGAGCTCAAAACAGCAAGAAAAATAGCTAAAAAAAAGGTTGCAAAATTAAGCTCAAAAAGAGGGAATTGACACTTACCCTTGAAGACCAACCCTTGGTTGCTTCTTGGCTTGAGAAGTGATGCCTCCTAGCTGCTGGAAAGCTCCCCAAGCTGCTGGAAATGGAGTGGTGGTGGTGGTGCTTGGTGGTGGTGTGGAAATGAGGTAAAGAACTTGGGTGCTTGAGCTTGAAAGAGAGAAATGGAGAAGGATATAATGCAAAGGCCTTAGAGGGAATTTTTGTAACCCTTGGGACAGAGCTGGCCAGCCAGGTATATGGACCAAAGAGGGGGGAAAAGGAGGGGAAAAAAAATGGGGGAAAACAAGCCAAGTTTCTCCCCAAAAGTTGTCCCCCCGGATACAGATTTTTGGGGGAAAAAAAGTGCATAGCTGTAATGTACATATTGCAAGGATCATGGCCGGCCACTTTTTGGAGCTGTAGGTGGCTGGCCGGCCAAGGGTCAAAAAGGGTCAAGAAGATTTAATGGCCGGCCACCACAAATTGGGCCACCCCCCCTAGCCGGCCGGCCGGCTAGGGGTCAAAAAGGTCAAGTTGATTTTCTAGCCGGCCACTACAAAAAGGTGTCCTCCAAGGTCCCCTCATCACAACTCTATGGTTCGAATTTGGAAACTGTAAAACAGGAGAGAGAATAAGCCATTTTTAAGAGGGATTCAAAAGGGTCAAATGGAATTTCTGGCCGGCCATATGATATTAGGATCCTCCCATGTGTGTACAACACAAATATGTGGTTTGGGGTTGAAGAAAGTGGCCCCAAGGTGTTCAACATTGGCTCGGAAGTGAGAAAAACGGGTGTCGGAGGGCGAAAATGGGATATAACTGGTTGCCAAGATAATTGCTGGCCTCCCACCCTCCAGTGACCTCCCTGGTGATAAAACAGAGGCACCTGCCAAAAATGAACAAGAACCGATGCAAAACGAACCCTCGGGGGCCAAAACACGCAGTTTGGGGTCCCCAAAAAGGGCTGCTAAGCACCGAAAGTGGCGTTCGGCCACGAAGTGGGTTTCTCAGACCCCAGTGTCCCTCAAAAGGGAGAAAATAAGACATATGCCAAAAACCAGAGCAAACGGAGATGGTTAGGCGGTCCCGAACCGAGACACACGGCCAACAGTTCCGAAAATCGGGAACCGGGCTCCGAAATGGGCAAAATGGCCTATGACCACAAAACGTAGCCCACGGCCACTAAGAGATGGTCTACAGGACCTCTCCCTCCCCTCAGGAAAAGAAACAGAGAAAACCGAGTCTGGTTCGCGAACCGAGGTAAGGCACAGAAGAGGGTTCGGAAGTCCGGAGGCAGGGCTCACGGCCGCGACTCTGAAACTTCTGAACGAGCACTTTATGCAATATCACCAAGCGCTCAACTGGTGACGTCTAAGTCTTAAGGTCGGTCAAAAATGGGGTGTCTACAGAGGGGCAGGAATTTTCTTCACCGCATTAAGTGTGACAACAATTGGCTGCCTGTGTAGAAGATTCAGATTCCTGTAAAAACACAAAATAGTGTACAAAAAAGTTCAGAATTTAAAACATGAATTGTATAACAAGACAAATGCAATATATCATGCATTCTCTAACACCATCCATTTAGCGGGGAAAAAAAAAATCATCCCAGCAAATCCTTAACGAAAGATATGAAGTAGGAGATCCAAAAGGTTCTCCAAAGTCATCAGCACAAACAAAAATCTGACAAACTTGTTCACCAACATTGGTATGGGGTTAATATCTTTGAAGGTCATTCACACAATGATTGACACATAGATCAACAGTACTAATTAAAGATTTTCTAGACACAGAACACAGAAAAATTACTTTTTAAAAGACCTTGAACCCAGAGAACGAATGTTGCAGAGCCAACCCCAATTTTGAATCTGATCAGCATAGTTGTGCAACAACTGATACCCTATTTCAGGCAGGACCTGTTTACAGTTTCGAAAACAATAAAAATCAACAGTGAAGATCTAAAAATTTTCAGATAAATGTTTAACTTGGCACAGCATCTAGGGCTGTAATAGAACCCCGACATATACTGTGAAATGGAAATACCAATTTTTGCTCAATATCTAGGTAAGTGACTGTCTTCATTTCTCCAGATAGCACCTACGAATTTCACTAGTCTATTAGCCACACTGGATTTGTCATTTTAAAAAGTTTGAACTACAAAAGCATTTTACCTTCTGACGTAGTTCTTCCAAGCGGATCCTTTCATCTGCAGCGTGCTGTAAAAGACAATCACTTGCAAAGTAAGAAATGCAGCCAAATGCTGGAAGCAGACTCCAAAACCCTAAGCCAATAAATATGATTATGTGTGTTGGTATGTACACGAATCAAGCCCACACATGTTTGCATGTAGATGTATATATACTACCAGGCATCTACTGGCTAATGCTGACACGATTTCCCAGTTACAAGATTCTCATATGAGAAACTGTTAACCATTCCATGTCCTCAATCCACTTCTAAGATTTCCTGTGCTATGTACATCTCAACAATTGGTGTCATTGAACATTCTGCCGAGATAAAATAGGCCTCGACTGAGAATCATGAGAAGCAGTACTAAACTATGTTACACGGACTCAGGTGTAAATATTGGGTGCAGGCACAGGTGCAGGTACATCTAGGGGTCGGATACTTCAAAATTAAAAATTGAAAATACATAAATATGGATCCAAATTTGGATACGAGTACGGGAATACGGTAAATAGTTATTTTTTAAATATATTTATTATATAAAGATGAGTTAAATAGTTATTTTTAAATATATTTATTATTTTTATCTTATGTATTATTTTTATTGATAATATTTTTAATTTATTTATATAATTTATTTTTTTTCCAACTTAGTTTTCAAACCGGGGGTCCCGTGCTAGTTCCGTAAGTTTTCACAACTCGCGTTGGTCACTCCCGAGGTGTTTGAGGTGTTCCTGGCCCTTCTTGCGACTGTTACATGATTTTTGCCCCCCGATGGCCTACTTCCAAGCTTAAGTGTTAAAAAAGTGTATTTTCGACCTAGTTTTCAAATCAGGAGTCCCGTGCCTGTTCGTTAAGTTTTCACAACTCAAATTGGTCCCTCCTGAGATGTTCGAGATGTTCCCCGGGCCTTCTCGTGACTGTTACACGATTTCGGCCTGTCGAGGACTATTCTAAAACTTAAGTGTGAAAATAGTACCTTTTCCGACCTAGTTTTCAAAATAAAGAAGAGAAGACAGAGAGAGAGAAGAGGAGATCGACATAGATGAAGACAGAGACAAGACGACACAGAGACACAAATCGACATAGATCTTCACCCTGTTGCTACCACTGCTCCACTGTAAGTTTCTCTCAACAACCCTTCTTTCTCCTCTCATGTTAGCCATGTCCAAGAAACCCATGCCGAATCTGACACATATCTCACACCCGCACCCATGTCGTGTCGTGTCGACACGGGTACTCTGCCCTAAACCAGCGAGTCCATGTAACATAGGTACTAAATAGTCCACAATTACAACGTCCATAGCATAATGTTTTAACTTGTGAACTAATGTTCTATTTGGCTCACTAGAATAAGATGGAATGGAATGGAATAATCATTCCTTAGGCTCCCCTATGGAATGATCAGTCCATTACAATGATGAATGATGATTCCATTTGCAATATATTTTTTAGTCAATCAAACATGGGAATGGATATTTTGATAGAATGATAATTCCATTCCATTCTATTCCAGTGAATAGAACACTACCTAAATATTTCATTTGGCTACGGTCTTTCAAAAATTTAAAAACATGAGATAGATGGATCTCAAGAAGAAAAAAAGAAAGAAAGAAGAGCAGTGCTTAAACCTGGTCAATAATAGCAAGCACTCCACCACCCACAATTGGAATGAACTTCTTATCCACCTGTTGGAGAACTTTGGCATCCTCCAGACAATTCTTATTGATAGATTCAGGAACTAATGAATCACCAGCCAGATACAAGATCCCAGAAGAGACATCAAGTATATTACTCTCATTGTGATATTATGTAATTTGTCTCCCCTCTGTATAGAAAACAAAATCACTTTGTAACCACTAATTTCATAACTTGACAACCCCAAGTTCTTTTAACAAACTGGTAATCATGATAGAATGTGATGTCAAAAAGAAAAGAAAAAACGCTAAGGTACTCAACTGCAGTCCGTAGACAGCTCTTCTGCCATTTTAGCCCAGAATCTAATGGATCATGAGATTCCTTCAATGTGCAGTCTGAAGGTTAAGAGAGCATAAAATCAGAAGTATATCATTTATATGGGTATGATGAAGGTATAAAGTGATAAGCAACAAATGTGATAATCAAATAATGGTGAAGAAAAAAAAACAAAGTTAAATTTATTCTAGGGTTTTTTACTTTTTTAGTCCCTGAAGTATGCAATTTGTCATTTGGTCACAAATGTCTAAAATTTGTCCCTAATGTATAAAAAGTGTTTCACTTTAGTCCCCCAACCTAACTCTATCTGGAAGTGTTGTTAAAGTCAAGGGTAAATGTGGAAACTCAATTAATAAAAACACATTTTTAGTCTAGTTAATTCTATTTGCACACCTCTCATTTTCTCAGTGCCCACACCATCTTCTAATTTTTTTATTACAGTTTTGTCCCTCAAACAAATTACTCTTTTGGATAAAAACCTAAACCCTAATTTTTCTATACACACATCTGTAGGGCTCGCAAATGTCGGAAGCAACATATATATACATGTTGGATGGCAGGAATATTTCCTTCTAAAGATGTTGGTTCTTTTTTTTGTTTTTAGTAGATATGTAACTATGATTTTAACGCTTTACCCCTAGTTTAGATGGAGAGAGACAAAATTATGTTAGGGGACCAAATTGAAACACTTTTTATAAATTGGGTAGTAAATTAACACAATTTAAACATGGGGGTCCAAAATGACACGGATCACTACTTTGGGAGCTAAAAGTGTATTTTTTTTAATTGAGTTTCTGCATTTACCCCTAAATTTAATGAAGTCTACAGACAAAGTTAAGTTGGGGGACCAAAATGAAACACTTTTTATACATTGAGGGCTTAGGCCTCACTTGGGGAGTAACTATTTTGGTCAAAAAGTCACTATAAGTTGTCATATCACTCCCTCTATTTTTCTGCACATCTTTTCGTAAAAAGCAAAAAAGTTACTAAAATAGCTTGTTCCCAAACTAGGCCTTAATTGACACAATTTAAAATTTTGGATCACAATGACACATCACATTCTTTGGGGACTAAAAAGGTAACTAATCCTTCCTTCTATAATACATTATTCATAAATGCTTCCATATTGTGGGAGAATAGGCAAAAAATATTAACTGTTTAATCTACAATCCTACATAACGCTACATAATCTTAACAAATGGAAATCTACCTAAAAAAATCTGGTACTCACCCATAGATCAATGGGAAGCATAACTTTTGCCTATACATAACAGAATTATTTTCAACTGAATCCATGCCGTAAATGTGGAGGCGCTCTGACTTTTTGCATTTTAAATTTTTGAACGTCAGTTATGTCTTATGATGCTACATAATACTAACATAATCATAATAGATGGACACCTGCCTAAAAAACATGGTAGCTTCTCCCATAGATCAATGGGAAACGTAACTTTTGCCAACACATAACAACAGCATTACCTTCAACCAAATCCTTACTGTAAATGTTAAGATCTTCTGATTTTTGCGTATCACATTTTTTAATGTCCTTCATGTCATGTGCTTTCTTCTTATTTGGTCTGAAAGCAAAACCTCAGTGAAGTTAGCAATTATCAGATTTGATCTAGCATTTTAAGCTTGACATGGAAATACTAAAAGTAATTATACCTGGTGTAGATCAATGGATCTTCCACAGAATTTGGCTCAGAATATAGTTGACATTCACCATATGATTGTTGAGGATGCTTCAACCCACTCGTTTCTGTACAATACACATAAATCTTAACTAGTCTAGCTTATTTGCACCACCACCAAGTCCTACAAACAGTTTGTATTAAAGCAACACCTTGTGAAGTAGGGGCATTATTGATGGCCTGGGCTTTGAGTTTTTTTGCTTCCATGGCCAAATGGGTATTTAAGGTGAAGAATTTTTTCTTGCCTCTGTAAAAAGGTGGAGTTAAATGGCTTCTTTTTGGCCTTCTCTTACAAACATATCCTTCTTGTTGATATATAATCGGATCCTTTAGGCCTTCATCCACAACATCATAAATTGCTGAAGAAATATGGTGTGACGTTACTGCAGAACAGTTGGCATTATATTTACCATGCGAGTCTAAACATAACCACTCTGTTTCATCAATAAATATATCGGGACATTTTGAAAAGAGAACATCATCTAGATTATGTTGTTGGATAAATCTACAATTATCTTGCTTGGAACGAACACAACTTTCAAAACCTGAGCACATGTTTGCAAAACTTATTGAGAAGTCTTCTTGGCTTGAGCTTTTTCGCCAAGAATCATCAAAATAAAAACCACGGTCCTTAACAACCCTTTCCGCTAAATAGTCATATCTATTGTCATATTTGATACGCCTCTCAAGTGCATTCTCATCAAAGAAATTATCCACATTCTGAGATTTGGTCCTAAATAATGGATCTGACATTACAGAAGACCATTCAGATTTAAGAGACTGACGACTTGAGAAAAATTCTCCAACACGTGCAATTGAGTCTGGTGGAAGGTCATTCTCTCCAGCTAAACACTCTCCACCTATTGCAGAAGACTCTATTGAATCCCTTGACAAAAAATCCAGACCTGTAAGCACGTCACACTTAGACATGGGTCCGGGGGAAGACCAAGCACTTGCTGCCTCATCCTGCCATAGAGTCCCTGGAAGGAAATCAAACCTCTGGTTATTGTCATCAATTTCTCCAACACAAACCCAATCATTAGGTTCAAGACTCTTTCTTTTGGCTCCAAAACCATTAATCCGAAAGTCAAATCCTTCAGAGCTTGCAGGTGATGCCCCATCAACTGCTCTCTCTCTCTCTCTCTCTCTCTCTCAGGATTGGTCTCCCATTATTAATTTTATTGAAAAGGCCATCACACACTTGTGGACTGAAAAATTTTCTCACGGTAAACTGCTAAATTTGTGAATAATCTTTTTGCTGTCTGTTAACATTATTTTTGTTAATTCATTTCTTAAACTTGTCTTGACTTTTGATATGTTTCAAGGAAATTCCTCCAGCCGTGGTACTGTTATGCCAGAAGAAGACAATACCTGGAGGGAAGGTAATGATGTTTCATCACCAGAAAAAGGTAGGATCTATATTTTATTATTGAATGTCTTGCTTCTGATAATTCTGTATATAGAGTTTGAATACCCTGATCTAGTTGTTTCAATAGTTACATTCCTCAAAACTATTTGGAGAAGAGAGAACACATTTCCAGAGTAACAAAATTTCATGAATGATGTTTATATAGCTTGCTTGTGAACTGGCAAAAAATCTGTTTGGGTAAATTATACTGTTGGTCCCTTTAGGTCCAGTGAAGTTTTCACTTCGGTCCCTGTAGTTTCAATTTCATCAATTTAAACCTCATACTTTCAATTACGTTTCAATGTGGTTCCTCTGTCCATTGTGGTTAGCATTTTGGACGGAAAAAGGCAACATGTGGAAATTTTAGCAATTCCTGCACAAAAAGAAAAATGAATAGGTTACACCTGTGGTCCCTATAGTTCTTTTGAATTCTATTGTTGTCCCTCTAGTTTCGCACATGTTTTCCATCCAAAATGTTAATGACAGCTGACCACATTGGTACGGAATTGAAAGTATGAGGTTTAAATTGATGAAATTGAAACTACAGGGACCGAAGTGAAAACTTCACTGGACCTAGAGGGACCAACAGTATAATTTACCCAAACAGATTTTTTGCCAGTTCACAAGCAAGCTATATAAACATCATTCATGAAATTTTGTTACTCTGGAAATGCGTTCTCTCTTCTCCAAATAGTTTTGAGGAATGTAACTATTGAAACAACTAGATCAGGGTATTCAAACTCTATATACAGAATTATCAGAAGCAAGACATTCAATAATAAAATATAGATCCTACCTTTTTCTGGTGATGAAACATCATCACCTTCCCTCCAGGTATTGTCTTCTTTTGACATAACAGTACCGCGGCTGGAGGAATTTCCTTGAAACATATCAAAAGTCAAGGCAAGTTTAAGAAATGAATTAACAAAAATAATGTTAACAGACAGCAAAAAGATTATTCACAAATTTAGCAGTTTACTGTGAGAAAATTTTTCAGTCCACAAGTGTGTGATGGCCTTTTCAATAAAATTAATAATGGGAGACCAATCCTGAGAGAGAGAGAGAGAGAGAGAGAGAGAGAGAGAGAGAGGATCAAGGGAACAATTGGATTCCTAAATTACTTCACAATAGAGTGATAACCAAACAAATTAAATTAGTAAGACTAAAGCCCTAAAGGAAATACTAGCACACTGTAAGTGAGAAGAATGAGGTAGACAAGCCATCTATAGCATTTAGGCAAATGAATCACACACATGGAGGAAGAAACAACACCAATCATCCAAAATTGACAGAAGGAAGAAAAATATATGTATATATACTACTATATCAAGTGTAATGCACAAATGAAATTTTTTCAACAGAAGCATCAATCCCCAAACAATCCCTATTTCAACAGAAGCATGCGATCAACAGTGATCGATGTGAAATCGATCCCTCACTTTGAAAGTGATCGATCCCTTATTAGTTGTGATCGATTGCCACCCTAGTTTTCACAAATCCTTCGTAAATTGGCTTTGGAAGCTGAGTTTCAATATAAACACCTCTATAACTTGGTTTTCTATATCCCAACCATTGTTTTTTCACAGTCAAAATTCTCTAAACTCTAGAAAAATTCTGAGCAAATATTTTTGTCATGGTGAGAGAATTTTCTCAAGATAGTTTTCCAAAAACCTTACATATCTTTGCATTGTTGTGTTCTGCACACAGGGTTGATTGGGTAATTGGATCCGTTCAAGAATAGAGATCGAGGTTGTTGCTTCGTAGTGTCCAGAAGATCAAAATGGCTGACTGAGTCAAGCTATGCTCGTGGAGTAACTACAAGTCATCAGAGTTGTAGATAAACCTAGGTATACGGTTGTAAGTTTTCTCGACTGTGTCCTGTATTCTATCATCATTTGGTGGATTTTTGTTGGGTGTTGTGGCCATGGTTTTTCCCTTTTGGGCTTTCCACGTAAAATCTGTGTTATCGTGTGATTGCTATTTACTGTGGTAAATTTTGATTAAAAGGCTAAAATAGGGCTAATAAACATAATTCACCACCCTCCCAACCTCTTTTCCGTTTCATTTTACTGATGTCTCCAATATTTCAACTTTTTGAGAAATGACAAAAATCACTTTTCCACTCAAAACAATCTAATTGACAAAGGGCAAACAAACTTCATAAGCCAGGAAAATTCTCAATCAATTAGCTAATTATATATATCACAGTTCATGATCAAACAAGAAGAAATGTTACCTTGAATTCAACAGAAGTCTTTGATGGTTCAAAAGTTATATCATACCAAGATCTTGGGCAACTTAAATTCAAAATGTATGTTTTATATGGTTGAGACCTACTTCGCTTCCCATTTTGTAACTTCATGTTAGCCTCCTGCAGATCCGAAGAGTTGAACCTAGTGACCAACTCATTCAGCAGTTTATGAATTGGGCCCTTGCAGATATAAAGAGAGTTGGTGTCTACATAAGTGAAGGTCAAGAAAATCAAAATTCTCAATTATCTCAATTGCCGATCTTTTTGTTTTATCAATATCTTAATTGCTAATCTATCTAGTGCAATATAACCTTTGCACACTAACAAGATAATCAACTTCACGGATACAGACAAATTGACAGGCCTGCAAGAAAAAGGACCCTCAATTAGCACTATTGACAGTGGGGAATCAGTAAAGCATATCAAAACAGTTAAATAGTTTATATCATCAAATGAAGTATACTTTCACAAATATCACGAGGACTAGACATATATCCAGAAAGCTTTAATACACCATCAGAGACATTTAATTCATGTAGAGAGCTGAAAATCTCAATTCCAAAACCACTCGTCAACAGTGACAAAGGAGATGAGGAAGGAGTCGTGCAGAATAACTCATCCTCACTGCATGCAAGTAAAACAAAAAGTAAGCAAACACATATATGACCCTCCAAGTGCTATATTGACAAATGTAGAGCAGGAACACCTCTCAATATCAACAACTTCGAAGAATACTTTTGGATGAACAATGGCAATTCTAAGAACACATTTTTTGACTGAGTGCAAGACCTTCTTCGGGCTTCCAATTTCATTATGAAAATCACAACCAAAACAAGTTAGTGCACATCATCACGAAAGAGTACATTAAGAAGATACACCACATCGAGATAGGTAGTTTTTGGCTTTGAACCTCCTCTAGTGAAAGCCTATCAGACGTACTAGCTAACCAGTGGACGCGATGCCTTGAACTATTCAACTGTTTGTGTAAGCCAAGATAATAGACTACACATAGTGTATCCTTAGACATAGTTTGGTTCTTACGGTTGTGTTCATTTTGGCCCTGAACAACGCCTGGTAATTCATGAGCGCTCTAGAGAATTTAGCTTTCTCAATTCTCATAAAACCAGCCCAGTTCACACTCATATAGGTGATTGCTTATTAAGAGTGTCCTGTTATACCCCACTTGGATGTCCAAGCTATAAGAATCATTAAAAGCAAAGCTTACCCTACTAACACTGCAGGTATCACTCTTCTTATCATAGAAATAGGTAAGAATAACCTCCTTAGTGACACGTGAAGTCATCCATAATTCAGTTGTCCCTTTGAACCTAGATCTTGGAATCTTCAGTCAACTAGGTTGGGTTGCCATTATGGCAACTTTTAAGTAATAGGCTTTAATCCCATTCCCCTCGATAAATAGTATACTTGCTCTCTGGCTAGCTCTTTAGTCAATGGATCTGCAATATTCTCCTTTGACTTTACATATTCCATAGAAATTATTCTATGTGAGAGCAAATGCCTAACGATATTATGTCTTCGACGAATGTGTTGAGACTTACTCTAGACACCCCATTTTTGACCGCCCTTAATACTTGAGCGCCACTGATGGTCTACTTGGTGGTAAAAAGTGTACAGTGCAAGGGTTTTATTTTCTTCAGCAAAGAGAGAGTCAAATCCCAACTTCACATCCCATTTTTGGACTAAAACTATTTTGAATGGTTTTAAGACCTTAAAACCCTCTCTTTTAAAATATTTTTGAAAAGATAATTCTACGATGTTTTGACGCTTGCATTTGTTAAATGTCACGCTTTTCGATAAACCAAGCAAGGACAAAGTGGAAATGAATGAAAGAGAGATGAACTCTTTGAGAAATCTTTTAAAACGCCTTGTTTAGGGGTTTGAAGTTGAAGAAAAGAGAAGAGGAGAGAACAAACCAAGTTGAGGGAGAAAATGGGTATGAACCGTTAAGAGAGAATCGAGCAGCGCTCGCTGAATCAGGCCTATCCTTTTGAATACTTGGATTTTAGCTATCAGGCCACCACCATTGGAAAGAAGACTTCCAGAGCTACAGTTTAGGCTCAAGAATGACCTGAAACGGAGTCCAGATGAAGGAATTAGGTTTGCTTCAAGTCGGGGACTAGGACTAATTTTTGTTGTCGGCTTCTATGGGAGTGTGGCGGCCATGAATGGCCAATGCCGTCCAAAAGTGACCCCTGCTGGCCATCAATGAGCCACTGTCGGCCACCACTGATGGCCGGCAGACCCCTTGTCTCAACAGGTTTCACGCTGGATCTTTTGAGCCAGCTGGAATCCTTTCATCTCCCCTCCATACACGTGTATGGACGGATGAAGCTCTTGCCAAGCTTCTTGAAGAAGCTTTGCATTGTTTTCCCTCTATATAAGGGGAGGCCCTCTCTCTTTAGAAGGGGTTCAGCCATTTTAGAAGAGTTATAGCTCTCTCTCTCTCTATATTTCTTACTCTCTCTCTATATTGTTGTTAGTTTTGTGCCTTGTTCTTGCACTTTTACACTGCAACACATAGAGATACACCACCACCATTGGACTGAGGTTCTTGGGAAGGTTACTTAATTTCTGAAAGTGAGTTTTTGGCCCCTGAGGTTACTGTTTTCAAAGTTGGACTTCAAGGGTGAGCTTCTTTCCCATTTTAGCACTTTTTTGTATCTCATTTAGGCCATTCTTGAATATTGTTTTAGGCCTTGCTTTCAACTGAAAAAAAGTCTTGTATTTAAGTGCTTTTGGTAGTTGTTTAAGGTCTTTGTGCTGTTGAGGGTCTTCAACCCTCTTATTTGCTTTGTTTAGCCTTGTTTTGAGCCATGCCTTAAGGCCTTCGAGCTAGCCTTGGTTTGGCCTTCTAGCCACTGAAATCCAGTGGATTTTCAGTGGTAGGCATGTGGTTTTTAGGTCTCAAATCAGAGGGGGTGGCCCCCTTTCTTTTGATTCTTGTTTGCTTGAGTTTTTGGCCTTCCAAAGGAGCATGCCTCTCCGTATTTTTGAGGCTTGGTTCAGGCCCCTTTTTTGTGACTTTTAGGACCTGCCTTAAGTCTGTCCATGGCTGGTTTGGTCATATTTTGCATGCGTCTTACATGTGTAGTGTAACCCCATGTGTGGCTCATCAAAGTAGCATGTCTTTCTTGCACATATTGGCTCCATTTCAGTAGGTTTTTGGTGATGTTTTACCATGTCTTAGATCTGTTTTGGGTTGGTTTTGTCACTCCATACATGCATAATACACTTGTAGTGTAAATCATTTAAACTAGGTTTATATGCTTTATGCTTTGACATGTCATTTTAGCTTGTTTTGTTTCCATTTCAGTAGGTTTTTGGTGATGTTTTGCCATGTCATACCTCTGTTTTGGTTTGGCTTGGTGGCCCTTTACATGCTCCATACATTTGTAGTGTAATTCCATAAATTAGCCTGTTATGTCTCATGCTTTAACATGTCATTTTAGCATGCTTTTGGCTTAACTTCAGGAAGACTTTGTTCATGTTTTAGCATGTTTAAGGTCTGATTTATGTTGTCTTGGTCATGCATGACTTGCTTTGTATAGCTATAGTGCATTCTAGCTTGTTAGTTTTATGTATAAAGTCTACTAGCATGTGTTATTTGACCTATTTCAATGATTTGACATCACTTGAAATGTTATTTCAGTCCCTGTAATGTGGTCACACACTTGCATTTGACATGCTTTTCAATACCTTGGAGAGTTTGTGTTTTATGCCTCGTGAATGGATCATTGTGCATGCCTCTATGCTTAGGTCTTTGGGATGCCATCTCAGTGGATTTTTGGGGTTATTATGCCATGATATAACTCTGATTTTTGTTGGTTGGGTCATTCCATGCTCAGTCTTAGCAGGTGGGGTGTAATCCACCTTATTTGCCTTGTATGCATCATGCCTCATACTCACCATGCTAGCTTGTTTTGGCTTATTTCCATACATGTTTTAATCTCATTTTAACATATTCTAGGACTGTTTTGGGTTGCCTTTGCCATATCCTTCATGCTTTGTATACTTGTAGTGCAATTGGCCTTGCTAGCTTTGTGTTTTGATGCTTCATGCATGCTATATTTAAGCTATTTAGATGATTTGGCATCATTTAATGCTTCATTTCAGAGCATGTAGCATTGCCATATTCCCATTTCATTCATGTTTTAAGTGTCTTTGAGTGTTGTGCATTATTGCCTAGTTTATGGCTTAGCTTGTATGCTTGCGTGCCTAGGTATTTGAGCCTTCATCTCAGCATGTTTAAGTATTTGTTTAGACCTAATTAAGATCTGTCCATGCTTAATTCATGCACTTGTGCCATGTATTGCATGCCCCTTTTGTGTTACTCTTTGTTAGCTTTCATGCCTTAGGACCCTTGCATGCCATACTTGTGTCGTTTGAATGATTTAGCATCATTTCTTACTTAACTTCAGTGCACTTAGTGTTGTTACACTTGCACATTTGTCACTCCTTAAGCACTCTAGTGAGTTGTGCTCTTAGGCCTCTTTGATGAGCCATTGCATTTTGCATGCTTGTGTGTGTTTTGGTGACTTAATTCCATCACCATTGGCCACTGATTTGGGCATAGTTGAGGTCTGCTCATCTTGGTTTAAGTCCATCCTTGCATGTTGTTGCATGCTTGTCTTGTATGTTGTTGTATGCTTGCTCCATCTTTGCATGTTGCTGCATGTTTGTCTTGCATGTTGTCGCATGCTAGTTCCATTACATGTTGTTTGCATGCTTGCCTTACATCGTATTGTGTGCCATGTGCATTAGCGTTATGCATGCCATTAGCCTTGCTAGGTTGTTCATATTGCATTAGCATTGTGTATGCCATCCTTGCATTGCATTGTTGTTTGGATTAAGTGCTAATCTGAGCACGAGAAACGAGGAGCGTTTCATACTTCAAGTGATGAAACGTGTCTCAATTCTCGGTCGCCGACGCTCCTGATCAGCTCTTGATTATCCATGATAGAGTTTTAGGCTTTATGTGTTTATTTGTGCATTCATTTTATATTGATGCTCACAAGTTGGATCTTTGGCCATCATGCATCGGGATGCGTGATTGATGGTCTTGGATCCGACCATGCCTCTCCCTTGATATTTTGAGGTGATATGGAGTGGCATAGTGTATACATACCCTTGGGAGACCCTCAATTTTCTTTATTTCGTGCTCTGCTGCAGCTTGGTGTCATAGCACATCAGTAGCCGGCAGTGCCCTATAGATGGTCGGTACCTCCTCATCCTTGGCCGGCAGTATACTTTATTTGGTCGGCAGGTAGTCGGCAGCATCTCTCCATGGCCGGCAGCCCACTGATGCACTTCCCAGACTGGTTTTGGTAAGTTCCAGCAGCAAGGTCTCAAGGACACCCTGCAAATAGAGCCTCTAAAGAGTATCCGGAGAGCTTACCGGGACGGGAACCGAGCATGCATGTTCACCTTCTTCAACTTGCCGATGCAACATTGTTTAATGCTTACTTGTTAGTTAGCTTCAATTTAATTAGTTAATTAATTAAGTTTTGTAATAATTAGTTGTAACTAGTTTTTCATTTGGTTATGTAATAATTAATTAGCTTGTTAGTTAGTTAATTAGTTGGCATGTATTATTCATTCGAACCCTCCATCGAGAGGGCGAATTTTGTAATAAGTGTGCGTGCATGTGTGCATGTCTTCCAACCTCCATTTCTTTCTCCCTTTTACTTACCTGCTTTTGATGGTTAGTTCTAGGTCATTTTCAATTAGCATACTTATGCTTGCATGTTTGCATTATTCATCTACATTGCATGCACCGGGCTCGGCGCATCATACTAATTGTATCGTATTTCAATTTCAAGTTGAATACATGTATCAATTATCGCATCTCACATGTTATCTTAGAATAGCCGAGCCTATTTCTAGTTACATTTTGCATGCGTTGCATTAGCCATCTTAACATGAACTAGAATCATGTATTGATTACTAACTAGTTATTGTTTTGGCTTTGAGTACTAGGTAAGCTTTTATGCTTTAGCATACTGCATGTGTGTTAATGTTACCAAGAAAACATGTTTACCATGAGGCTATTTGCTTATGTGATATAAACTGCCTGAATGCCTGTGGGTGAAAGTTGGATTACTTGAATTGGAAAAATAAAAAAACTATAAAAAATGTATTTGAATTTGAAAATATGAACTTGCCACTTTTTTATTTTTTTTATTTTTATAGCCAAAATAAATTATACTTATTATTGAAATTAGTTATAATAAATAAATAAGTAAATCACATATATGAATTTAGCAAATACATGAGTAATGAGATATTGATTATCTTAACATTAATTCTTTTAAGTGCAAATGTTACAGAATTATTATTTTGGTTCGTTTTAGTTTTCTTTAATAATCTTTTATATATATATATATATATTGTGCTTGTGCAATAAACAATATTTTTTGAAATAATTTATTTTTAACATTATGCCTATTTACATTTTTTTCAAAACATTTATAAAAAAAATGAACAATAAAAAATATATTTTGTGCTTTTTAAATATATAGCTATATATATACTAGCAACAAACTTGTACCACACACGGAGTGGAAATTATATAATTTTTTAAATAACTGGTTTTGGTAAGTTCCAGCAGCAAGGTCTCAAGGGCACCTTGCAAACAGAGCCTCTAAAGAGTAACCGGAGAGCTTACCGGGACGGGAACCGAGCATGCATGTTCACCTTCTTCAACTTGCCGAGGCAACATTGTTTAATGCTTACTTGTTAGTTAGCTTCAATTTAATTAGTTAATTAATTAAGTTTTGTAATAATTAGTTGTAACTAGTTTTTGATTTGGTTATGTAATAATTAATTAGCTTGTTAGTTACTTAATTAGTTGGCATATATTATTCATTCAAACCCTCCGTCGAGAGGGCAGATTTTGTAATAAGTGTGCGTGCATGTGTGCATGTATTCCAACCTCCATTTCTTTCTCCCTTTTACTTACCTGCTTTTGATGGTTAGTTCTAGGTCATTTTCATTTAGCATACTTATGCTTGCATGTTTGCATCATTTATCTACATTGCATGCACCGGGCTCGGCGTATCATACTAATTGCATCGTATTTCAATTCCAAGTTGAATACATGTATCAATTATCGCATCTCACATGTCATCTTAGAATAGCCGAGCCTATTTCTAGTTGCATTTTGCATGCGTTGCATTAGCCATCTTAACATGAACTAGAATCATGTATTGATTACTAACTAGCTATTGTTTTGGCTTGGAGTACTAGGTAAGCTTTTATGCTTTAGCATACTGCATGTGTGTTAATGTTACCATGAAAACATGTTTACCATGAGGCTATTTGCTTATGTGATATAAACTGCCTGAATGCCTGTGGGTGAAAGTTGGATTACTTGAATTGGAAAAATAAAAAAACTATAAAAAATGTATTTGAATTTGAAAATATGAACTTGCCATTTTTTTATTTTTTTATTTTTATAGCCAAAATAAATTATACTTATTATTGAAATTAGTTATAATAAATAAATAAGTAAATCACATATATGAATTTAGCAAATACATGAGTAATGAGATATTGATTATCTTAACATTAATTCTTTTAAGTGCAAATGTTACAGAATTATTATTTTGGTTCGTTTTAGTTTTCTTTAATAATCTTTTATATATATATATATATATTGTGCTTGTGCAATAAACAATATTTTTTGAAATAATTTATTTTTAACATTATGCCTATTTACATTTTTTTCAAAACATTTATAAAAAAAATGAACAATAAAAAATATATTTTGTGCTTTTTAAATATATAGCTATATATATACTAGCAACAAACTTGTACCACACACGGAGTGGAAATTATATAATTTTTTAAATATAAAAATAATTTATCGTATTTATTTTAACTGTAGAAAGTAATTTCATTAAAACAAAAATGGTTCAATAATTTTAAACTAATTGTTAAAATGTAATTGTTAAAAGAATGTCAAATTTCATTAATGACTATTATATTTTATATTAATTAAGTGTATCACGTACTAAGTATAATTGGCATAGGGGCTTCAACCGAGTTAGGGTTAGATTGAGCTAAACTATATATAAAGATTATATGTTAACTCAACTTGAACACAACATCAAGATTAATATAGTCATTCTAAACTTGACCCTTAAATTCTTCAAATTCTAAGCCTGCTCAATTAATCCATTATACATGGATTGTTATTATTATAAAAATGATTGATACATCGAATTTGAGCTTGTTCGAATCGCCCGAATTATGTAAGCCGAACGAGTAATCGGATGACCAGTGTCACTCTTGTCAATTGCGATTGTCACCCTTATCAACTGCGGCTGTCACATTTATCAACCGACATATTAATCGACATTTGTCGGATGACCAGCCAAACGACTTTTTGGTTGACCGATATGCACAAATTCGGACGAGACTAAATTCAGTGGATATAGCATTCCCATTATTATTATTATTATTTGGGGTGTCTTGGAGTGATTTTAAATGAATTTGTCATTTTTAATGATAATTTCAATTTGGACTATTAGGTCAAGTTTGACATATATCAAACAAGTCAAAAAGTCAAAAACTTACTTAAAAAATTAAAAAGTTAATATTATTCACCAAAAGTTAACAATTACGACTGCACAACTCCCAATACTAATTTTTCCACGTGCGGTTCTGGGTGTTCCAGAACCGAATTTTGCCCTATTTTTCTGCACTTCAACCTCTAAATCTCAAACCCAAATCCAACCAGATGAAGGCCACAAATTAACGAACATAGTGTATAAACAAGATTCAAACTCAAATTAAGGCTTGAATTTAGCTTTGATTTCCATAATTTCATTAACACCTGCATAAGTAAAAGAAACAAGGATTTATGCTTATGTTAATTCTATGCTTCAACAAACCATGAAAATCTAGGTTAAAACCATGCAAGATCATGTAAATGAGTTTAAGTAATGGTATGTGGACAAGGAAGTGGAAGAGTTCCTCTTGTTAGGTTTACAACATGACTTATACTACCCAACTCCTCACTCTCACCCTCAACCTTATGAGTTCAAACTAGAATTTCATCTTCATGCAAGAAATTAGGGAGAATCTTTACCTGGATGAGTTGATCTAGTGAAATTGTTTCAAGCTTTCTTCCCTTCCCCTTCTTTCCTCTTCTTCTCTAGCCTCCTCTTAAACTCTAACTCTCATATTCTCTCTCTCCTATTGAGTTCCAGATAGTAATATATAAAACATCCCAAGTCTTTAACTTAGATTAACTACCTAAGAGTTTCTTTAGTTAAATCACTTAGTTAATCACACTACCATCTATCTTACTTTAAGGTGAACCAACCCCACTCACTTAGTCCACTACCCAATTTTATAACTCTACAATCTAATGAATCAGACAGGTCTTTTCACAAAGGAACATATCTGTTAACAGACACAATGCTTATAAATATACATATAAGGCTCGAATAAATGCATAATCCAGATTAAGCATAAAAGTAATCGTAAAAACAACAGCTAAGGAGAAAGGCGGGTGTTACAAAAATAAAGTGCAAAAACTTTATAGAGAAACAAAACCCTAGTGGACTATTGCAACCACAATTCTATTTTAATTTGAAGATTCCTTCATCTCATTCGAAAGTGTGTCAGTTGGAATAGGTGAGTTTTGCTTTAGTCTAGAACGATGATTTAAACATTGTAAAAATTCCATTGAGATGTTTGAACATGGTGAGATTTGTCCTGAAGGATTGCTGAGTTCTTGGTGATCTTAGTGGTTTGAATCTTCTGTGACTGACAGTGAGGATTGGTCCTTAGGTTAACTCTCATTCATATAAATTTAGGACACATACGTTAATCGATTGCTCACCTTCATTGGAGTTGACGTGGCTAGTGAAGAACAGGAAACTAAATGTGAAGATCAACAACACAAATGAGTTTAAGGATCAACTTCAAAATTGTTTATAGTATTTTTCTGAGTTTTGGTTTTCCATATATAATCTTGTTTGTTTTCTCTCTCTTTGTGATTGGTTGCATAATCCAGAATACCAGAATATTTGTGAACACACATGCTTTCAAAAAATTAAAAAAAAAATTACAATTACACAAAACAATGGTGAACATGAAATAGAGCACAATCTAGAATACCAGAATACCAGAGCATAATCCAAAAATTACAATACAACAACCCATGTCCCAATCCAGAATACCAGAGCACAATAAAAAACACAATCAAGAAACAGAGAGAGAGAGAGAGAGAGAGAGAGAGAGAGACAGTGAAGTGTAGGTACCGTTGTTGAAGAAGAGATTGAAGATGCCGAAGAACGAAATGAAAGCAAAATCGACGAGGAATCCACTGAGGGACGTCTCTAATGGCTTAACTTTCTCGAAATCTGTGAAGAAGAAAGCCCCTGTGAACGAAGATCGAGTCGAAAACGACGCCATCGATCGCCTCCTTCTCGTCCATTCCGATCTCTCCTCTCTCATTCACCAGGTAACTTATTTGTGGTTCTAGAGAGAGAAACACAATAGCAATTTCATATTTGATCGAACATTGGTTTGGTGGAAATCGAAACCCTTAGATTTGTCTGAAATTGTTGTGTTTTGCTGCTTTGTTTCTGCACTGATTCACTGATAAGATCTAGGTTTTTTTTTTTTTCTTTTGAATTTCTCTGCATTCCATTCCATTTCATTTCTAGGTCTGTCTATCAATGAATGCTTCAGTAAAAAGAACAAATTTTTATTTCAGTAATCACCTTGATTTTTCTTGGTTGCTTCTTATTTGTTATTTGTGTAGTGTGAATTTTTTGTGTGTATGCTCATCTTTTGTTATATGATTTCAATTTGGGTTACTGTTAGCTACATATTACTTTGAATCGAATGTGGGATTTGAAAATCTCACTTTGGGTATAGAAATTTCCTTAAGATGCAACTTGGGCTATATTTATCGAGAATTGAAAGTTAAGCATTGTTCTGTGTTCAGTTTTCTGTTCTGTGTTCAGTTTTCTCTATGTTTTTGGGAATTGACTAAACCAAAAACGGTGAGGAACCATAATTTTGTACTTGGTTAATTCAATCTGAACATTGTTGTAGATTTTGTCTCCCTAACTGCAGAATAGAGTACTAATATATTGTGTTTTATCTTATTCATCAGTGTGATTCTAAGATTGTACATGACTGTGGCATAGCAGTTGAGTTTGTCTCTGGCCTTTGAAGTTTGAAATGATTGCTAATGATAGTTTCATTTTGTTCAATGATTATTATAAGCTCATACTTCCTGTAGTTATTTATGTTTTTCTTAGTCTAATTAGGATGAAAAAGAAAAGAACACTGATCATGTGGCATGAGGAATCAAAAGCATAAACTAAAAATAATGAAATCATCCACTTGGATGATGAAAGGATTGTGATGGTCACAATTTCTGTTTTGATTTTCCTCGCTGATTCATTGAAGTTCTTTGTGTGACAAAAGTCATTATGGCAGTCCCAAGGACATGAAGGATGTCCTTAATTTGGAAAGCATAGGAACATATGAGCATAAAAAAGGCACTAGTTAGACAATGATGAAAAACTGCATGATTAGGTTGATTGTTTGTACTTACTAAATAATCTGACCATTGAGGCATTATGCGAAGAAACTACCAATATGATGGAAATGTTGGACATGGTTATCTTAAGAACAAGTAGGTTATATTTGAGAATCTTGGACCTGGCCTCACTGCCAGCTGTAGAACCCAGTAAACAACAATTAGGGGAAGCTACTAAGAAATATTTTGTAGATGTTCTGTGTACTTACGTTATGCATGACTTTTTGCACAACATTTTTTTAATCATTAAATTTAAATCTATAAATTTTGGCCCTCTGTCTCTGCCCCAGGCCAGATTCTTAACGGCCAGCCTAGGCCCTGCCTATGGCCCTAGGGCTAGGGCCTGGCTGGGCATTTTTCAAAATTTTGGTAAGTTGGTCTGGCTTCGGATACATTCGCTCAGGCCTCTACATAAGGGGCTTGGGGCCGTCTTGCATGCCTAGGAATCATCATCTGAGTTTTTATTCAAATTGCCACATACGTTTTGGTGTCCTATATATATTTTTTGGTGTCCTACTCTTGCTGGAGCCACTAGTCCCTCTCACATGGGTTGGACCACCTTTGAAAAGATTACATGGGTTGGAGTCTTTGTAACCACCTTTTAAAAGATACTCCATCCAAATAGCTTCTGTAATAGTTAGTCCCTAAATGTATATATATATACCACCCCTTTTTGGCAAACTAATAAGTAATAATTTACCTCAATTTGTAGGAAATGTGTGTTAATTAATGTGTGTATTGCAGATTGATGAACTTGTTGTGCAAGCATTCAACGTTAAAGTACCAAGCAAAAAGGGGAGAAAGGAAATTGAATCTTTCACGCAAGTCTTGTCGGAAATCTCATCTTCTTTGAAGGTTGCTGTTATAGTTGATTAATGTTAGCATATTTATATTTGCAAACTTTTGTTGCACATGTGATGGATGTTTTGTTTTGCTGAGTGCAGCCATGGGCTCCTAGATTCAAGAAAGCACTCTCCAGTGACTCTATTGGTTCTGAGAATCAGTTGGGACAGTCTTTGGTGAGTAGAACTGTTCCTCCTGTAAATGAAGATACAAGCAATGTAATTCAGAGTCCAGAACAAACCAAACTTGACTTTCTGGTCTCTCCTTCGCCACTAGTGTCTTGGCGTGCTGAATGTACTACTGAGTGTGGTAGACAGCTATTTCTGCTCACACCTCTGCCAAGACCAAAAGCATTTTCATCCAAACTTAAAGACTCATCTAAATCGGTAATTGGAAAGATAACATCTAATACTGTTGGTTTTTCTATTTCTGGGGTTACAAATGATGATCTGCTTGAAGATGTAGCAATAAAGCCAGCCCCAAGTAAAGTTTCCAATTCTGTTGTGACTAAAAGGGAAAGCACTCTGGAACCTGGGTTTAATTCTCCGCCGAAGTTCTCAGAAATGGACCGCTCTGTGCTTGTTATGACTCCACGCCTGAAAATGTCACCACCCAAGTCTTGTGTACTGCTCGAACCTATTTCTGAGATATCTTACAAAGATAATCATGGGGTCCGAAAATCAACCCCATTTCCTGTTGGAATTCCAGATTTTAGTGAGTCAGAAGTGTCTGAATCCTCCAGCAGTGAAGCTTCTGAGAATTTGACTTTGAAATATCCAGAACTATTTGGGATACAGCCATCTCATAAACTGGGAAATGGAAGGAAGGGAGGAGTAGAAGCATCACCGGATTGGTTTATGTCACCTCCTAAAACTTGCGTTTTGATGGAACCGCCTGATGAGAAATCATTGACTAATGCTACTAGCAATTATCAGTTGCCAAGGACTGCTTGTGTAGTGAAAGGAAATGATGTTCAAAGTGATAATTATTTAACCGGGAAATCTTGTAATCAAGGTATTATGTTTCTTTTCACCGGAAGAATATGTTGAACTTGATTTTGTTTAAAGTTTTAATTGGGTGTTACTATCTTTTTTGACAGAACCTGGTGGCGTCTCAGCTCTAATTGAAAGCACTCCCATGTGGAAGGAGCCTGAAAGCACTTTTCGAACAGGGAAGCATCCTGGAGAGAACACTTTAAAGAAGGAGTTGTGGACGAGGTTTGAAGCAGCAACTAGCAATGGGATACGAAGCAAAGTCTCTGTTATTCAAGAGACTGCTCTCAAAGGATTTCTTGACAGATTGGAAGAGGTTTCTTGTGATGAGACAACTCCATTACCTGAGAGTTTGTGATGATAAACATGATGTTGTGGGCAAAATTTTGAACTCTACGTGGTGTGTTGTTGGCTTGAGGGAGGCTTTGGAGATTTTGTTGTACTTCATCGACTATGAAGGTTACAATTTGCAACCGATAAAGAAAATGGAAAAATAAGAGGAATTAACTTTTGTGTGTCACTCTCTCTCTCTCTCTCTGTTTTGTATAGATAGGTGCAAGAAAGGCTGCAGAACTTCAACAGTGTTCCTATGTTTCTTCTGAGGATTATATGAACTTATTTTTCAACAAAGTTTTTGGGCATGAAACAAATATTATAAACCTTTTCATCCAAATTTATCAGCTGACAATATTTTCATCCAACGTTTATGGTAAATTATATTGTTTAGGCTGTCCATTTTTAACCCGGAGCATGCTTTTGGCACAACAATTTTGGCTGTGTTTGGTTGTGCTTTTGAAATGTAGAAATGTGATTCTACATGCTAGTTTCAGCTCCATATTTGGTAAGAGTTCTGGAATTAATTTTTCAAAACTCTGCCAAAAGCTCTGTCCATTCTGCGCGTTTCTTGTATTTTTTTTGGCCAGGGGAAGACCGCCCGGTCGTCCCTAGGGACTACCACCCGGACGTCCTTGGGGACATCCACCCGGATGTCCTCTGTTGTACAGATTTTTTTTTTTTTTTTTTGCAATTGATTTATATAATTGGGAAAAATATTTTCTAAAATTTTTAATGTACTTTAAAATAATTTTGAGTTGTATGTTTAGTTAGGAGTTGTAAATTTTTGTATCACATATCAAATATCACATTAATAATTCCCCACTCAAATCAAACTACTTTTCCAAAACTATTTTCAAAACTCTTTACTAAACAAATTTTCTACACTCAAATCATAATTCTACAACACATAAACTCAAAATACAACTCATACTCTCAAATCACATTTACAAAATACAACCAAACGCAACCTTTATTTTTCCCGGCAAGTATGTTTATACAATGGACAAAAAATCAAGAACCAGTCACAAAAAAATATAAGTAAAGCAATTTGAGAGGGAAATTGCTTCTTTTATGACAATCCCATCATTTGACATGTATTGCCCTGAGTTTAGAATAAGATATGTAAATGAGTCGAATTAAGTTGAATAGTGAATTAAAGCTTGGTTTGAAATTTAAAAAAAAATAAAAAAAATGGTTGAGTTTGATATATTTTTTTATGAAACTAAATTCAAATAAATTTTAATCCTGTCAAGTACAAATATTAAGCTTGATTAGTTTAATTTTATGCTCAAGTTTGGTCTAATTTATAAAACAAACCAGTTTTGAACCAATTTTTAAGAAATTATACCATGTTTGGTTCCACTTTTTGAACTCCATTTTTAGGAAAATTTAGAGTTTTTGTTTGGTGAACTCCAAAAATACAAAAAAAAAATTCCAAAAATCCAATTTTCCAAACCATTTGGGAAAAAGAAATTATGTCTTCTTTAAAGAAAAAAATTTTTTTTTTTTCCCCCCCCCCAAAAAAAAATCTAAAATTTCAAATTTCTTGATGCATATGGGAAAAAAATATATTACATATTCTTTATATAATCGAGCAATTACCTAATGACTCCTATTTGCCTCAAACAATTACCTATTGCTTTCTTTATTACGTCTGACCAAACCAAACTTCTTCTTCTTCGGTGGTGCTATTTTTTGATGTGATGCTATTTATTTATTTTTTATTTATTTATTGGGGAAGGGTTGTTATATGTTGACTCGAAATCTAAGTAGCGCACTGAATCTGATTTTGTAGAAAATTTTTTAAATTTAACTTATAAAATTAAAAAAAAGCAAACACCCGAACAATAATCACTTTTTCAAAAACACTTTTTAAAAATAAAATTCTAAAAATTAACACAAAAAAGTGGAACCAAACATAATTGCGGGATCGATTAGTTAATTTTCATTAAAAAAAAGCCCACAGGTATGGGGTTAAAAAAAGAAAATCATAAAACAAAAAGGGTGATTTCATAAATTAATGAAAACATAGAGGTTCGGCCATAAATAACCAAACTATGTCGTTTCCCGTTCACTGGAAACTTCAAAACCCTCGCACATCAGCAAAGCCCTAACCCCATACTCTCTCTCTCTCTCTCTCTCTCTCTCTCTCCCCTCTGGTTATTCAATGGCCGATTCGACTCACTTGGTTAAGCACATAGAATCCTATGTTGACTCTTCTAGCTCTCCTTCTCAGCAGGTCCAATGCTCACTACTACTCTTATTTCCTTGATGCTCCGCTTGGTTGGCGTGTAATTTCAGCAAAAGCAAATAATTTTCATTTTTCATGGCTTCAGCTTTCTCAGCAACCAAACAGAATGTCAAAAAAAGAAAAAAAAATCCTCTCTTGTTAGGGCAATTGCATTTTGTTTTTCCTTTATTTTTATTATTTTTTATATTTTTAATTCATTTGGGTTGTTTATGTTTCGTGTAATGCTTAATTATTCTCATACATAGGTTTATTTTTAGTGGTTTACTCAAAATTAAGGCAAAATTATCATTTCTATGCTTTGAGTATGTGAGGGTTTGGAGACTTACTTTGTTTGTCCTTTGCATTACAGAGTGCAAGTTTAGATGCAATTACTGCTCTCTTGAAGAATGACATGTTAACTATTGAAGCACTTGTAAGTTATTTTTGTATTTTTTAAAAAAAAATTTCATTGTTTTCTTTTACTATTTTATAATAATACCTCTCTGAATGATTGTTCTTTAAAATATAGGTTAGAGAGATGGAGATGTATTTGACTATTACAGACAGCATTATTCGTGCAAGAGGTACTTTATTATTTGTTTTTAACTTCTAAATGCGTTAATTTTTCGGTTGTTTATTTCAAAATGAATCAAGGGTTTGATTTGGGATATATGTAAACGGTGCTATGTAAACGGTGAATCTTATTCACACACACACACACACTGCTATGTAAACGGTGCTGTTGAAGTTCAATTTTTTGTTATTGTGTCATGATTGTTCCCAGCCTTCCAAAGCCTCATCAAAAGACAGATGGCTGAGACAAAATCTATTTGCTTTTTATTCCTGTTGTTATTGCAAAAATTTTCAATATAATATATATATATATGTATTGTGAACTATCTGTATGACATGGATTTTTCACACATTTTATCTTGTTGTGTTCTAGGTATACTTCTTCTTGCTGAGTTGCTGGGACGTCTTGCATCAAAGCCTGTGGATGATGCTTCCATACGTAGCTTAATAGGATTCTTCACAGAAAGGCTGGTGAGTAATCAATCACATAATGAACTGCTATGCACTAAAGTAGAAATGGTCATCTGTTTAGTTCTCAATTGCTTCTTCACGCTTTAGGTTTTTTTTCTTTATTTTGTCTCTATAACTTCTATTTCCTTTTGTCCTCTTTAGATCACACTACTATTTATTTCCTTTAGAACATGTACCTGTACCATTGTTGCTTCATTTGTTTGAGAATGTGTTTTTTTGTTATTATTTTAAGTTTTTTTTTGGATCAGCAACAAAAAGATGTCTTTAAAACTGAAAATTACGGTACAAAGCGGGACAAGTCGTTCTCTAACAAAGAAAGAGAGAAAAGAAAAAAAAAGCCAGTGACAAAACATGTAAAATTGACTTGTTAAACATGTAAACTCCATTCAACACCACATTTGTCATCCAATTAAATTACAAAAGAATCAAATAAGCACAATATTAACACCAACTTTTATTTATTTATTATTATTTTTATTAGATTTTTTAGTCTACAACGTTTGAAAGAGCTAGAAATATAAAATTTCGAATACACAGTGTCTTTCATTAATACAATAAACATGGGAGATGATTTTCAATACTTCAAACATGTTTTGTTATCATCAAAATTAACCATTTGAAGCCTTGGTGCTAACAATCTCTCATTTTCTGATGATGACAAACTATTGTTAAAGGATTTCAGAAAATTCATTTTTCAAAAAGTTTTATAAGCCTATACCAATCAAAAGAGTGAAAACGAGATTCATAGCTCACGGTGCAGCTCACCATTAATAATGCAATTCTTCTTTAATCAAGCTTTCTTCCAACAACGAATAGAACATACTAGGCATATTAACATTTTCCAATAACATTTTCAATCTTCAAAGATCAAATAATCAATTTTAGCATCAATTAACAACATTTGCAATTCCAAAATAATAATGAGCAGTAATATCACCACTTGCTCCCCCTTTTGTCATCAAAAAAAAGAAAAAAAAAAAAAGAAAAAAAAAAGAGAGAAGGGACATGGGAGGAATAAAAAACAGAGAACTATTCTTAACAATAGTGACAATAGCCACAGTAATTAACAAATCTCAACTATTTGCCAATTGATGTTCAACACACAAGCATCACAATTAGCATCAACAAGAGTTAAGGATTGTTTTAACAGTTTTATCCAAAAAAAAAAAAAAAAGAGAGAGATTGTTTTAACAATTGTAATCCATAATTAATTATCCATACAACACTTTAACATAGAACAGTTATTTGTCTTAAAAAATTCACATTATTATAGCAATTGCAAAAGATCATAGAGAGGAGAACCAGTGTTAAGGAGAAGGAGCATTTGGGAATCTTCTATGCCACTCCTGTAACATCCAGATCATAAACGACTGCAACTGTTGACTCAATTCTTTATCATGCACACACTGATGGTCATTCAAGAGTTGTGTATGATTAGCTTGAAAGTTATTCACTGTATTGACCATGTTCGTCACACTTTCCCCTGCAGTAGTGATGGTGTTCTTTTGCTGGCGCCTGCACCAGATCACTGACAAAAAATATACCAGAGTGCAGGACCTCTAGCAATATTTAAAAGATATTTTTACTGATAGTTGCGTTAATAGCTTGTCCAAGCTTTTCGAGGTTCTAAACAAAAAGAGATGGTGAAGGGTTTCACCTAGCCAAAGGCTCTGGTTGGGAACATGTAGGTTAGTCATCTCACCATCACTTTAGTATGGGAGATGGACTAAACCACTCAAGGTTTGAGCCCAAACACTCCTATTGCTCCCCCCTTCCCAAATCTAGCTTTCTCCCACTCGGATCATTCTCTCTCATTCCACCCTTGCTCTCTTGTTGTCCCATATCACATGTATCCCTTTCTAGTTTAAGAATGTGATCTAGTTAGAACTAGTACAATTGTTATGTTTAGCACCATAAGAGTTAGTTAGAGTTAGCTGGGTCTTTATCCTATAAATAGGTGGTTAGGCCTCTCTAGTATGAGAGTTTAATGATATTTTGACATTGAATATTTCAGAGCTTGAGAGCTCTTGTACCCATTTTGGGATTTTCTCTCTCTAATGAAATCTCTTTCTTGATTGGCTTCATCATTTTGGTATCAAAGCATTAGAGTTTTGATCCAATTGTGTTAGATTGGATTGGTTCATCATCTAATTCTACACCATGGACTTACGTACCTGATTCAAACTTCCAGTTTTTGAGCTTTCAAGAACCCTAGTGGCAAATTGAGAACAACTTCAATCTGATTTTGATCCATTGCTAAGGTGCGACTTCAATCTGATTCCAATCGCGACAATCTGGGTTTCGTTTTCTTGGGTTGATTTGAGTTCGCAAATATTGTCTGGGTTTGCAGATGAGTTCGAACGACCTGCAGATCGACTTTGCTGGCTGAGTCGAAATCAGACTTGGGATTACTATCTTGAATCGAAATCAGACTTGGTTTGGAGCTTCGATCGTGAATGCCCTAGATTTCTCACCAAGATCTTCATCTCTAGTTCGTAGCACCTAGGTTCTCTTCGAGACCCTAAATCGACCTCAGTTATGAGTTTTGTTCGAAGTTGAATGCGAAGTAGACTTCCATTTTCGGGGGACAAAGGACACATCGCGAATTGAAACCCAGTCAGCCTCCGATTTCTGCGTTTCGCAACTGTGACTATTGTGAAATCAACAAAGCTTCATCGCGCTCCATTTGTGATTGAAATTCCAACTTGTAATAGCTAAGGAAGAAGAAACAGAGGCATAAGGAAGAAAGTGCAGAATCTGTGTATTATTTTCAGAATTTCACCTATCCCCCATATGGGAGTTCCTCAACTATTTATAACTACTTCTTCACCTCACACTTCTAACTGACTAACTAATTCATAGCTGACTTCTCACACTTCTAATTGACTAACTAATTCACAACTGATTTCCTGTAATTGACTAACTAATCTCTTCCTGTAACTGACTAACTAATCTCTCAACTACTACCTAACTGACTTCCCTCAACTGACCCACAATTCAGAACCTTCTTGACATAACATTCCTTGCTGCTTGAGAAATAGCCTTGACCTCAAGGCTGAAATTGAGGATATTTTGCTTCTATCTCAGAATGATCAACCCAGGTAGCATCCTCTGGAAAAGAATTCGTCCATTGGACTAACCACTGAACCACAGCCTTATTACCCCGCTTAACCATCCTCTATCTAAGACAGCCATAGGTTTCAGTTGCAAAGTTTCCTCAAGACCTACTGGGGGAAGAATGGTGTGAGCTAACACATTAGTCCCGATTTTCTTCTTAAGCAGTGAGACATGAAAAACAGGGTGAATTTTAGCAGTTGTTGGGAACTCCAGCTTATAAGCTACTGAACCAACCCTTTCCAAGACCTGATATGGTCCATAAAACCTTGGAGATAGCTTCATATTTCTCTGCAAAGCCACTGTAGTCTGCTGATAGGGTTGTAACCTGAGGAACACCCAGTCCCCAATTTCAAATTCCCTTTCAGACCTGCCCTTATCAACATAATGTTTCATCCTCTGCCGTGCCTGAGTTAAATGCTCCCTTAAGGTCTTGATAATAGCAGCTCTCTCTTTTACCCAATTATCCACAACTGCTACTAAAGAAGGTGTGGAAAGGCAAAAAGTATGGTCAGGAGGTTCTTGTCCATAGACTGCAAAGTAAGGAGTAGTTTTGGTGGCAGCATGATAGGTGGTATTATACCACCACTCAGCTAAAGAGAGCCACTTAGCCCACTGCCTAGGATAGTCTCCAGACATACACCTGAGGTAGTTCTCCAAACATTTGTTCAAAATTTCAGTTTGACCATCCGTTTGAGGGTGATAAGCAGTGCTAAGGCACAACTTACAGCCTTGTAAAGTGAAAAGTTCATGCCAAAAATGGCTAGCAAACACAGCATCTCTATCTGAAACAATGGTAGAAGGAAGACCATGCAACTTAAACACTTGATTAAAGAATACTTTGGCCACATCTGCAGCTGTATAAGGATGTGATAAAGCCATGAAATGGCCATATTTTGACAACCTATCTACTACTACAAAGATCACAGACTTGCCTTGAGAATTTGGTAAACGTTCAATGAAATCCATGGAAATATCAGACCATTCCCTATTAGGAATAGGAAGGGGCTGCAATAGGCCTGGATACTTGACATTTTCACTTTTGTACCTCTGACATGTATCACATTCAGAAATGAACTGAGCCACATCCTGCTGTAGGCCCTTCCAATAAAAACTTCTATGTAGTCTTTTTGTGGTCTTGATTATTCCCGAGTGTCCTCCTAAAGGTGAAGAATGGAAGTCCTGAATAAGCTGCATCCTGAGGGTTGAGTTTCCAACTACCAACCTGCCATGGTAGGTTAAAATATCATGGTCCCAAGCATAACCAGCATGAGCTTGACCTTGTTGCAGGTTCAAAATCAACTGTTGAATGTCAGCATCTTCACTCCAACTGAGCTTTACTTCGGCCAACCAATTGGTAGAGATACAAGATAAAGCATGAATCATAGCTATTGAATCAGCAGTATTGATTAACTCTTCTTTCCTGGACAAAGCATCAGCAGCTTGGTTATCTTTCCCACATTTGTATGTGATAGTGTAGTCAAAACCCAATAGCTTGGTCACCCATTTTTGCTGGAAAGGAGTTCCCACTCTCTGCTCCAAAAGATATTTTAGGCTTTGGTGGTCAGTCCTAATAAGGAAGTGCCTACCTAGAAGGTAATGCCTCCATTTGAGGATTGCTAGCACTACTGCCATTAATTCTTTTTCATAGGTAGAGAGAGCTTGGTCTCTTGCTGAAATGCCCTTACTCCAATAGGCAATGGGATGTCCATCTTGCATAAGCACAGCCCCAAGGCCTGTGCCAGAGGGCATATGACTCTAAAACAAAGGCCTTACTATAATCAGGTAAGGCAAGGACTGGTGTGGAAAGCAGGGTAGCTTTGAGTTGAAGAAAAGCTGTTGGAGTTGTAGGGGACCATACAAAGGAATCTTTCTTGAGCAAACAA